AGGTTCTTCCTAGATGCTGGGCACTGAATGAGGGAACCCTGAAGGCCAACCATGTATTTCACCTTTTTGCTTGGAGGCACGACTACCTCCATGCCTATTCTCATTTTCCAAATTGTAGTTAAGACACCCATTGATAGTCACATATTTTCAATAAAGTTTTTATGTGTCCTGAGAAACACACTTCTTAAAGAGACTGCTGGCATACTAAAAACTTGGTACTGAAATAGAAAAAAATCGAGTAGACTTGGAACAACCAGTGGCTACCTCAACTAATCTAATTAAAAGTATTCACCAAACTATCTGCCATGGAGCACTGCTATTTTAGGTCAAATGGAGAGGAGTGCCATGAGAAAATGGTGATGTTAGTAACATTATTTTCATCTCAAATATTAAATATGAAATTATTTATGAATTCAAAATGCTTAATGTAGGATTTTCAGTATAAAATGGACAAAATCTCTTCTATTCTGCTGCAAAAGTTATCTCAGTGGTACGCCATACCACCACTCCCCCAAACTTCCAGATCAATCAACATTTATTAAACACCTACTAAGAGCCAGGTACCGTGCTAAGTGCTGGTCAACATTTATGCTTTCCATAATCATATTTTGAATCCCCAAATATTCCTTGGCTTAGTTAATTTAGGAAATATTGCTCTAAGGTAGTACTAATTTCTACCAGACTAAATCACCCATCCCCAGTCACAAAGTTCTGCTGAATAACAACAGGTATCAGAGGAGCTAAAGAGAGCATGAATCACTTGTTCTTGCCATGTCTACCAAGTAGAAAGGTATGGTTTTGACTGAATCTCATTTTTTAAAAACACTAAGTAACCAGGCAATGATTAGATCAGACTGGAGTTTTTTGTTACTCTAAAACCACAGTAAAGTTTTCACAGGAAAAGAAGGTAGTTATTGACTGTGAAGAATTCTTTTTATCAAATTTGGGGCAAAATAGAATTTAGTTATGACTTCCTGTGAAATGTGGGAAATACTTCACTCCCCTCTTTATAGTCTCTTTATAGTCACATTTTGTGACTCCTACTGGTGTGTACCCACTCAAAGTAGAAAAAAACTAAACAAATATTACATTGTTTAAAGTTTATTGATATGTTAGTTTGATTTAAATTGCTCACTTAACCAATAATCTTATTCTCCCATATATGTTTTCTTTGAGCACAATGGGTACATCTCAAACTACTTTGATATTACCTCCTTTCAAGTAAAATAATGTCTTATTTCAGGAGCTTCCTGTGATATGCACATATGAGACTATCCTAAAATTTTTGATTGATTAGAAATACTTGATGAGTAGAATGTTTCTGAATATTAATTTTTAAGTGACATTTCTACAATTCATGAGAATGTTACATAAAATTTGGATAAGAACTTTTTTTTGGGGGGATATATTCAATTCACTCTTGCTATCATCGATTACTGTATAAATTGTGTGCCCCATAACGGTGACATCAATTCTGATAGAGTCATGAAGAAGGCACACCTGCCTTCTTTGAAACCAGTTTTATAACCCTGTTACATGTCTATATTTGGTGGGAAAATTAGGGGCTATGGTTATGCCAGGATGACTTAAAAAAAAAAGTACTTCTTACTCTTCTTTTTGTTGAGTGTTGAGAAAAGACAAATCATAATCTAAAAATAAATGGGCCTTGGCATTCATGTTTAAATGTGATGAAGTCCACCTCAGTTATTATAGGATAAATAAAAATTTTAAAACCTGGGTGGAATTGATAAAATGAAAGTCTTCACTGCAGCTAATTTACCATCTCTGTGACTAAAAGACAGGATGGAAAAGCTACAGACATCTAGAGACCAGAAAAAACAGAGCCATTGACTGAGCTCCCACTAATGAACCTAGGACTTAAAAGATATCAAACAATTCTAAAAAATGTAGTAAGGACAAGAGACATTACACAAGGCTAGTAGGGTAAGAAAAGGCAAGGTCAGTTAGTTACTGACAAGGAAAAGGACTTCATTTTCTGTAGCAACACATTTGAGTAGTTTTCTATATCTGTTCTTGGGCTTTGTTAGTATGAGTATACATGCATACAGGACTGTCATGTTACTTACAGTGTAGAGAGTAAAGCCTTGGAACATTCCACAGAGGGGCAGAGGGCTAGTCTTTATTATTTTGAAAGGGGGAGACTAAATACAATGGCAGCAGAAGGGAAAGTTTAGTTGTGCAAGGCGAGGAACAGTGACGGGTGTTTTGACAAAGGTGAGAAACATATAGAATTAAATCAATACTGAAAACACAGCAAGGAAAAGAAACAAAAACAAAAGCAAACATACTCTGGAAATGCAGCCTTACTAAGGATACCTCTCTGAAATTGGCAGCATTTAGCTAAGGGCATGTGTTCATTACTTGATCTTTGTGGTCAGTCAAAAGAAAAAAGAGAATCAGACACCTGACTCCTCCTGGCTTGGCCATCCAATATATCATTTTATGCTTAGTGAAGAAAAGAGAGGTAACTTAGAAACAATTCCAGAGTATATTTAGCTACCAAAGCTGTGGGCACACAAATGTCACATTTCCGTGAATTAACCCATTGAAAGAACATCCCTTTTCAGTGGCCCACAGATGACCGAAAAGACACTTGTACCGAATTAGATACTGAACACAAATGGATGTGACATCACCAAGGCACCAGGATCAGAGAAAATAAAGAAGCAAATGGATTAAGAATCACTTCAATTTGAGAGACATACATGTGAACAAGAAAAGAAAGAAAATACATCCAAAAGAATAACCCGGCTACTAAATCACATCACAGAGCACTTTGCAAAATGAAACAGAAATTTAAAGGAAATTCGTGGATGCTTAAAGAAAAGAAATCTACAGGGGTGGGAGGTGGGGAGAAGGAAAAATAAAATCATGGTTAAAAAAAACATTAAGCTAAATTCTTTTTGAATTTTGCATAACAACTCATTGGCATTGCCCCCCCAAAGGACTTAATCAATTGTGCCAGAAAAGCCACATTTGATTGGGCAAGGCAAGGAGTTAATAGCACATGAATAGTGGTAATGGTAGAGACCCACGCAATCACCTCTGCCACCATTGTCTGACAATATGTAGACTGCTTCCAGCTTTGTCAATATTCATAATTAAACCAAAAGAATGAACAATGCAAAATTTTTTAACTGTCAACTGTTAATAAGACTCTGATAACCTCCACTCCCTGGGGAGATAACCATTCAGAGCAAGCTATCGACCCCATTAATTAGTGAATTGAAGTGAAAATTGAGACTGAGAGCTTAAATACTTTGTTAATATTTTTTCTTGCATTTCAGGAAGCCTCTACTGTGTATGCAAGTTGTTTTAAAGAAGTTGCCTTTTGGCCATTGAGAACACAGATGTGGCAAACAATTCTGGGGCATGGAACCACACAAAACAAATCACAGCTAATGCACATAATCCTTAACCTGCTATGACTGGGTCCTTACCCTATCACAAATTAGCATGATATATTCTAGGGAGGTTAACAACACCAAGTACCCCTTCAACATAATGAAACTGATGAGACCAGACTAGCAATTTTGCTTACATTTGGGGGGCAGGGAATACTACCCAAAATGATGAAGGCTAAAGAATATTACAAAAGGTTAAGGGAAGACACTCTCAAGGAAAGATTAAAAGGACTTAAACTGTATTGCTTGGCTAAGCCATAACTAGCAGTAGAAGGACACAAGATACTCCTATATATTCTGAAGAAGATTAATAACATTAACTTGATACAAGAGGACCACAGCAGAGGAAATGGGAAGAAATAAAGGAAAGGGAAATTTAGGACAAAAACATTAAAATGGTAAGTGGTAGTCTTCCAAGGGTCAAGGTGTCAGCTCTATCCCTTGAGACACAAAACACTGAACTGGACCAAATTCTTGAAAGCAGACAGGAGTAAACAATTCTGAATGGAGTGGAAAGGCTAAGCAAAATAACTGGCCTTTTCAGTTTCTGATTTGCAAGACTCTTTTCTGGACAAGTAAAGGCTTCTTTGGTTGCAGCTGTGACTAAAGTAGCATGTGTTAATGAGGCCCAACAAATGGTGAAAAAAGATTACATTTCCTGTCCCTAGTTGACCAAAGAAAGGAAAGGAAAATTTTGGACAGTTCAAAGTACAAGCTCTTCATTTACTTTGGCTTCCTTTCCAATTTTAACAAATAATATTTCTGCTCGATTAAATTGCATTTAAATCTTCATTTTTAAGGACAATTACAGTGCATATGAGGCTATGGCTCTATGCAAACACTATTAAACTATGTATCTGGAACCAGAATATTTGGACAGTTTCTCTGTGCTTTGTGTCAAACAGTGATACTGTACAAAAGTTAGATTTTTTTCTTTAGTGATTAGCACATTTGCAGAGCAAAAGGCTGGAAAAAGCATTTGTTAAATAAAAGCTATTTTAATCTTTTGTTACTCTTTTTGGTGCTGTATTTTGGTTTTATGTGTCTTCACTTTTTACTACTGAGACTGGACCTCTGAGAGTTCTTGTTTACATAGTTTTCATACCCAGGAAGGCTCATTCCTGTCATTTGTCAATGATCTGATGAATTTACCTGTGTTTTAGGTTAATTCAACTAGCCTTCACTGCTTTGCCTTAAGTCACAAAGGTAAAAGGAGGTGAAAACATCACTAAAGGAAACTGAGATGAAAGGGAAGAGGATTAGCCTCAGCCAGCTTTTGCTTAAGGCTAAGCTTTCCTCTATTTAACTGAGAAAACTTTAATTTCAAAGGTCTTAATTCCTTACTCTTCCAATAACAATAATATACTTGTATTATTTGTTTTGTGTGGCTTCTTTATTCAGTGGATATTTTGGTTAAGGCCTAAAATGGAGTATTTTGTTTCTGACTTTTTCATAAGCTTTTAATAATCGTGCAGTGGAGATTTGTGCAGTATTACCAAGATTTAGCTGGAAGCAGTTACAAAGTCTTCCCCCCCACCCTTCTCCCCACAGGAAGAGTTATTTCCAAGGCCTTACCCTTCTTGTCTTGGTGATTATGGGATGAAACTGCCCCAAAGGGATCTGTGCTGTCAGATGAGTCAAGCAGATCCTTCCAATCCTGCATGTGTCCCCCAGACTCATAACCCTCTTGACCCGTCGTATCTGAAGTGGTCGTGCTGGGAAAGAGGGAACTGGAGTGCCCTGTTTTCATCACAGATACAGTTAGGAAAAATATCACCTGTAAACCATCCATCCCTTTTTCTGACAGCCCAGAGCTGACACACATAAGCTGCCAAAAAGTTGACTAAAGACCACTGGGAGACCTGGTGGATCCTGTCTTTATTCTAGAGGGAAAATATAAGCATATACTCTAAGGGAATTTTTGCTAAGAGGGAACTATTCTGTTATTTTACTTTTTTCTCAGTACTGAAGGGTCGTTCTATGTCCCAACAACCAATAGCTTGGGTATCCTGAGTTCTCATGTCTTCATTTAGATGGCACAGTGGCTAGAGCTGGGAACTTGGGAGTCCAAAAGACCTGTATTCCAGTCCTACCTCAGATACCAATTAGCTGTGTGACCCTAGGCAAGTCACAACTCCTTTCAGCCTCAGTTTCCTCATCAGACAATGGGGATAATAATAGCACCTACCTCACAGAGTCCTTGTAAGGCTCAAGTGAGTTTCAACATGTTAAAAAAAAACTCTTTCATTTTACAGATGAGGAAACAGAGACCTAGAGAGGTGAACAGATTTGCCCAACATCAGGCAGTAAATGGGAAGACCAGGATCTGAACCTAGTTATAGATTTATGTTCCATAGCACCAACTGTGCTCAAATGGGTCTTCCATATTACGGGATAAAATAATGCTCTCTAAAAGGGTCTCCTTTTTTTTTTTTAAAGTCATCTAAGCCTCACCTAGGATAAAGAAATTCTTTCTATGATTCTACAGCTTTAAAAAAAAATAGTTGTCACAACCTGTTACAATAATAAGCTGTTAAGACAATATATTTGGTGTGTAATTATCTCATGGATTCTATTGTATGGGAAGGTAGGTGTAGTCTTTTATATGCCAATAACAAATGAAATTTGGTTAATGACTGATACTGTGGTTATGGTTGATTTTCATATCATTGAGACTTTAGACTCACCCACAGGGCTCAGGTTAGAAAGGAAAATATTTTTGTGACAGGTAGCAGGTGGAGGATGATTCCAAGAAGAAGCCTGACATGAATGGGAGCTGTGGCCAAGGCACTAAATGATTGTTAGCAACCTCCTGTGTGTAAGTGTGTAAGTCCTTCAATAATCACCTGGCAAGGTTAGAATGCTAATTTGTGTCAGTGAAAAAAGCAGTTGCTTCTATTAAGCTACGATTTTGATTCAAAGAAACTCTGATACACCCGACCTTTGGTAGAAATGAAATGTTGCCATTCTGTGGCTTTCAAGCAGTGTCCTTGACTTTAGTAAATGAACATGTAGCAGCCCTTTGGACAATGTGTAAAGATGTATAAGTACAATTATTGTGAATGCTTAACTGGCGCATTCTGTAAGGAAGTGGGAGAGATCAACAATTAGTTCCACCCTGGCTCCAGCCTTGGATTGTCATAATCCTAAATGTGGTGAATAAAGTATTCTGTATTTCAGATGGAGAGACAAAGAGCCTGTGTTATTCTTTTATCTGCTCTAATAGGAAATTGGGTTCTACCAACAGAACTGAATAATATAAATCATAAGCAATGCTTTTTTTTTTAGGGGTTGAGTTATTTTGCTTCAAGAGAAAAAGAAGGCAAAGAGTTTATCTACTACCAAAAAAATTTTACAGCAGCCACAGCACATTGCTGAAGGCATGGGTAACATTTCAGCAAAGTGGCTTCTGATCCAAGCTTGTTATTGGCCCCCCCCCCCCCAACTTTAAACATCCGCTTTATTGCAAAAGTCTGATTCAGATTTAACTACTAAAACATGTTCATTAAAAACCCAGGAATTGTACTTGTGGAATGAAAAACTCTCAGTTGCTGAATTTCTCCATTTTGTCACCCCTGCATTTATTTTCAAGCTCTAATAAGTAAAGGGGTGGAAAAAAAGTCTAGGAAATGGAAATTGAGTTTTCTCTCATTCCCACTCATTTGTTCTGAGATCTGAAACACATTCTCCATTACAGCACTCTTGGGTTTGTGATTGCTGTACTGAAATATGTGGTCCAGCTTAATATAGAACTCAGCCTTCAACATGAGAAAACAATTAACAATAGTTTTGTGAGGGGCTGGGAATTGTGGAGCATACCAGCAAGTAGCAGGGATTTCTCTAAACCACACTGATATGCATTTTGTATACCTTTCATTTAACAGTGTTCAAGGGGTGATTTTATGGTAATACCGTAAGTACAGTTTAGGGAGAATGTTTCTAAATATGGTCATCATGGGGAAATATAAGCCTGAGGGACACATTTTCTGTAGAAAGATTTCCTGGACCATATGCTACAAATACATGGAGAGCTCATTGGTAATGGAAAGCTATGGCTACAAGAAGAAATTAATGTGGACCAGATGGTAGTAAAGTAGGAAAGGGTTTTACACAAATGTGAGAGATCAACTAAGGCTCTCCATCACTAAAGTGTTAGTCTAGTACACACACAGACAAGATTTCCTGTATGCAAATTTAGAGAAACCATACTTCTTCTGATTTACTCAGCAGAAGACATCAAGGCAGTCATTTTTTAAACTTGTGTTTCTGAGGACAATATAAACAACCTGTTTTTGTAGTGAATTAAGCAATCTGAAAAAGTAATGCCTTGGCTTTTCATTAAATTTTCAAAAATGCCAGGTGAAAAGAGCACCATCAAGCACATATCTTGAAAAAAAATCAGTCATCTCTTCTCTAAGATAAAACAAAAGATTTAAAGAAAACCTTTTATCTCTTTGTATAATCTGAGGTAAGTGGTTGTATCATTTGTTATGTATTCTCTATGAGACTTCTGGAACCACAATAATGCTACAAAAACAGGCACTCATTTGTAGATACAGGACTGCATACTGATGGATTTGTAAACTATAATTTTGTTACTATCAGTGGGCTCTGCAGTCGAATGAGAAAGGTCATATTTCTGTAAGTAGAAACTATACTCAATTATTCTCATAATGTCAAAACAATGCTTTTTTAAGGCAAAATGGACTGCTCAATATGCACTTTATTGTTTCTCTATATCCACAAATCATTAAGATTCTAGAGGTTAAGAGACTTCACACTCCATCCTATTAACCACTACTTCAATCTAATTAGACACTGAGAGTCTAAATCAACACAGGGTAAGAGAAGTGGGGAAATAATCAAGGCCCAATTCACTAAAATAGCACTCTTGCTCATGTAGCTAAAGTTGAACAACGGTTTTGCGCAATAGGGGGGATCAGAATAGTTTTAGTTGAATCTAGAAACATTCTCTCCATAGCTTAGTATTACAGTTCCATGGAGGCCTAACTATACACAGATCTGAGCTCAGCACTGTACTTTCACTGCAGATGGGAAAAGTTCACAACTTAAATCATCATGCAATTTGCCCTCCCCCTTTTTTTTCTGACTCATGCTCTTGACAGATAGGAACTCTGAAGATAGCAAACATTAATCCTTGTTTTGCATCCTGTGCATTCTCACAATATTGTGGTGGTTGGAACCAATCTGGATGTATTAGCTTCAAAACAGGCAAATCTCTTGCATTCATTTATGAAATAAGCAATATGTTAGAATGGCCTCTGTTTTGTCCATGTGAGCACCTGTTTATAGTTAGTAAATGTCCTCTTTCTGATGGCTTATCTATAATTTAATCATGTGATAATGGAGAAGAGTTTGCAGGGAGAAAGGATGAGATCAGCAGTCATGGATGATAGAGGGGTCAAGATCCCACACTTCAATTTCTCCCTGCAGGAGAAATTACCTGGTGACTCCATGTTACAATTTGTCTCAGCATGTCTGATTGCTAAATTCAAGGGAGTTTGGGACTTTATGTTTGGCCCATATTTCTCCATTCCATCTGATAAAGATTATCCCATTATAGAAACTGATTATCCCTGTCTCCACAAATAATAGGAGTTAGAAGAGTCTCTTTTGAATACACATGCCCATTTCTACTGGATGGTTTATTATAAACTGCCCTTCTTTCTATAGTACATCATTCCTCACACCTTTGGTGGGCAATGTTATGATTTCAATGAGGCAAACCAGAGTAAACAGAGCACTGTAGGCTACATATACCCATTTTACTACAAATGAGAGATCAGAGGATGATATTTGGTGATATTTAAGCCCTTTTTGTATCTTAAATTCATGCAGCAAATTATAATTGTGTTGGTCCTCAAGTAAGGAAAAACATAGTATTTAATGATTTCCCCCTTAGTTTTCATTATCAGTAAGTAATATTACACCTTTAACTATAACTAACTATGGTTTGAGGAGGTATAATATTTAAATCAGAGCTTAAAAAGAAATAGAAGCTCTGAATGTACTACTGAAGCATTCAGTTTCCAGTATAATATAAAGTCTAAATTTAATGTCATGCATGTTTTCTACTGTCATATTGATGAGCCATGCCTCATGTATAGTTGTACTTTATAATAAAATATTTGGGGAGTGCCTTAAGAAACGGTGAGTGACATTTCCTGTTTTTCAAATAAAGAGCTCAATATATTCAATCTCTATAAACAATGATTTTACCCTATATGGTTCTCTTATCATTATGCATACATTTTACAAAACACAGCAGGGCCTTTGGTAATGAGATTTTCAAGTTATCCACATATCAACTCCATTGTTACCATTATTTCCTCACATTAAAAAAAAGACCCTATTTAAATAAAGGATTTACAAGTAAATCCTATATTTGGAGATAATCATACTTATTCTGATGGATGATGTTGGAAAGTCTTGACCAATAGTGGGATGATCGCCTAGGCATCATATTGGCCTTCCTCTGGAGCATGGAGATCCCAAGAGTCAGAATTTCTTAGTCTGATACAATGTCTGATCAGTGTAACAGGGATCTACTGGTTACAAATGCTACTCTTTCCCCATAAATATACCTATATACACAAACAATATCTCTCTCAAGAACATGTTAAAGTTGGAATTAGGCCATCCTAGGTTTTAGATATTTATGTTACATGAATTAAAATATTTAGGACTCAATTTCCGGCATCAATTGCCTCACCAAGAAATTTTGAACCACTATGCAGATGTATTGATAAGTTTAGTGAATTGGGCCCCCAAATAATAAATTATGCAGTCTCTGATGTTAAAGAATGAAAGCTATCAGCTACTACAATGATGAATGACTTGGGGAGAAGTTTTAGAAATATTCATAAACTGACCATGCACTGTGTGGTAAGACATTTCATGATCTGGTGGAGGAGTTGAAATGTCTATGAAAGAAATAAACCAGGATAAAATCGTCAATTAAAAAGGAAATCCCAGGCTTAAAAATACTGAGATTAATGAAAAAATGCCCCCCCAAATAGATTTTCTCAGCTATTAAAGCATGTGAGTAATATTTTCTTACCATTCAGTGCCACAAAGGAATCTGAAAGACCAAGAAGAAGAAGAAAGTTACTTAATGCATGATATATTCACTTCCAGAATCTTTGTGTGGAAAGATAGCAAATCCTTCCTCTAAATTTAACTATGCTAGTCCTTAGAAAACAGAGAGAATGATACAACTTGATGATGAACAGGCCAAATTCAAAGTCATACCAGCTTTTCAGGGTGTACAGGAGCCTGCGGTACACTGACCTTACCACTGAAGACCCAGAACCACCCCAATGCCACAATGGGGCATTAGAAGAGAACTTGAGTAGAGAATTATTATCACTATTATTGTTATTTTATTCTTTAGCATGGCTTACAGGTTACAAATGAGTTGACTTCTAGGGAGGCGGCACAATGGATAGAGAACTGGTCTTGGAATCAGGACAACGAGCTCAGATCCTGCCTTGATCATGATTTAGCTGTGTGAATCTGGACACTGAACCAGTCTCAGCCTCAATTTCTCAGTCTATAAAATGAGGCTAATAATAGCCTCTACCTCATAGGGTTTTTGTGGCAATCAAATGAGTTAAAAGATGCAATGCTTTGAAAACTTCATTTATTTATTTATTTGTGAGGCAATCGGGGTTAAATGACGTGCCCAGAGTACCACAGCTAGTAAGTGTCAAGTGTCTGAGGCTGGATTTGAACTCAGGTCTGCCTGACTCCAGGGCAGGTGCCCTATTTACTCTACCACCTGGCTGCCCCTTTGAAAACTTTAAAAGACTACATAGATGTTTGCTATATTACACAGTGACGGTGTTTTCAGGTTTTGTTCCTAGCACATAATAAGAACACATTGATGAATTATTATCAATAATATCAGTAACATTTATATAACCTATCTCTCTCTTTCTTTTGATATGCAAAGGCCTACATACAGTCCAGACAAATCAGATGCCTAGCTATTCTATATGTATTCATTCTACATATCTAGAATGTGCTTCTTCTCAGTCTTAGAATCCCTAGTTTCCTTCAAAGCTCAATTCAAATGTTTTGTCTTCCATGGGACCTTTCTTTACCACCCCTGGCCACCCCCTGGCTACCCCCTGCCTTGTTGTGGTGCTGCAACCCAGAATTAACCTTGTATTTGCTTTGCAGTTTTTGAATCTATATGTTATTTCCCCCAATAGAACACAAGCACTTGGTGGTCAGAGGCCAGCAGTTAATAAATGCTTGTTGATTGACATAGTACTATGAAGTTGCAAAGTATTTTCCTTACAATGAACCTATGAGGAAAGTAGTGAGAATATGGTCATCCTCACCTCACATATGAATAAACTCAGGATCTAAAAGGTTACTCTTGTTCACAGAGCTAGTAATAGACCAAGGTGGGATTTGAACCTGATTCTCCAAGTCCCATACTCTATCTGCCAGCCACACTACCTCAACTGAATTAACATACACACTCACTAGGGTAGCATGTAATCATCAAGACAAACTAAATACTCTTTCATTTCTCTGTCTGTAATGCAGAACTATTCATATTATGTTCAGTTCTTGTCTGGGCTCCAGTGCTCCTCTGATTGCTTCTTTTGAAGTCAATGCCTCTGCCAAAAGGCAGAGATGCGAAGACTGTGAGGGATGAATGGAAACCAAGCGCATACCTGATTCTGAGAGTTCAGGTTTAACTTTGGATTTTTCCTGAACGTACCACCCAGCTTCCGACAACCACTTCAGTACTCAGATTTTCCATTATGCTCCCTTACATTTGACCCCCCATTCCCACTGCTTCCCATATCACAAGGTTAAGAAAACAGAAAAAAATGTGCCTCAAGCCAAACACATTTAAAGTTTACCTACAGAAACAACATCCCGTGAAAATGGGACTGAAGGGCAATAGGAAGAAGAAGCAAAGTTTATCAAGTGCCTGTTTATCTTATGCCCCGAGCACATGCTAATATGCATAACCAACACAGTGTAGGCACACATACACACAAATATTTCTCATTCATGTATGCATATATGCTACACTGACAGAATTGCCTTCATTCATTTCTTGATGCCTGAAATTCTTTATCTGTAGGATATGTGGATATGTGGATATTTATCTGTAGGAAATGTGACTTTGTTACTAATGTTGGCTTTAGTATTCCAGTTCTGATGTGAACCCACACAAGCTAGGAAAGTTTAGGAAAAGGTTTCTTGTAAATGATCCTAGTATACCTGGGTATCAGACCGATTTCTGAAAGAGGTGAGATCATAATGAAATGGTAGCCTTAACTCTGAAATTCCAGGACTCAGCAAAAGTAACATGTAGACATTTCATTGTGACATCACAAATATAAAATGAAGTCACATGACCAAGTACCTATAGGTTAATGTGAAAATTAATTTCTTAATTAAAGGTAATTTTAAAATTTTCTCTCTTAATTAAAGGTATTTAACTCCTTATTTTTTGCATTTAATTTAATACATGTAAATAAAAAATAAACCAAAAATATTTTTTAGTAGTGTCATATTCATTATTCTATATCATTTTGGTCTAAAGTTATTTTCCATTGAGTCTAAGAGATGGCAGCAGGTCTGAGCGGGTCACTTTCTCCCTTAGGACATGGGTTACTTATGAAATTGTGACTACAAAGTTACTTTGAAAGTTCTTTGAAATAAAGTCTGTATACGTGTTCCTTCAGAAGTCAGCACAGGTTTGTGGGTTAACATCTTTCAAAAAGTGATATTTGACATTTTCAGCTACTAAGTACTTAGTTGGTTATTTCTGAAATTTGTTTTCGCTTATTCCCTAGAACCTCTGCCTCAAATACCAAGTGACATGGTCCCATCTTGTAAAATTATTACTTTTAATAATAATTTTTAGCAAATGTAGTCAAGTTGAGCAGAACTAACTCATGGCACAAGAACATTCTGACTTCTCATTTCTGAGCTTTCTAACTCAAAAATTATTAAACCAGCTTAGCTAAAAATTTCTAGAACAAACATTAACCAGTCTTTTGACTATACTTGGCTGAGACTTTGAGTATGACAGCACATTATAAAAAGAACAAAAATTTTAGTTTGATACTGGAAATACTGACACAAATTCATGTCCAATAATAATGCATTGTAGAGCTGAATTTGTCCCCAAACATAATTGCTATGAAACCTGTACGAGTGTGTGTAGCATACCCTCCTCCTCAACAAACACATCCCTTTCTTTATTTGTTATTTTAATGATTTTTGTTGCTAATGTGCTTTTTGGTGCTATCAACATCAGCAGCATGCAGGGAATAATATTTTGGGCATCTGTAAAGAGTCTTTGACCCCAAGATAAACACTGGTATTATTACTTAACTTACTTTGGCAGTCACCCAGGCCATCTGTATTGCCGTGTTCTATGTCCTGTTCAAATGCCAGTCTTTTTTTTTAAGGCAGAAAGAAAGAAAGGAAGGAAGAAGGAAAGAAACACAATAGTATGAGTAATAACTCAGAAAACATCCTTACATTTCATTAGTGAAATAATGCAAATTTAGTAGATTGGGAAAGGGAGGTATAAAGACTTACTAGTTACTTCAACAGTTCCGTATGAAGTCTATGAAAATGTGAAAACTAAGGAAATAAGTTCTATGCAAACATTTGAAGATAATTTATATTATTATTCAGGGACAATTATTTCATTTGTACAAAGAAGCTTTGTACAGAATAACATAAATCTACGAGGAAAAACATCTTAATATATGTCAGTATTCTACTTCTAGTTTCAACTTAAGAGGGTGGTCAAAGAAAATAGAAAGGATTCCAATGTCCTCCATTTCTCTGAGGTCACTGGGAACCAGTTCAGGTATATGAGATATAGTAAGTAATAAGATTGATTTTAATAGTAGTTTTATATTAATTTTTAAAATTAGTTTATTAATTTTATTATTTGTCTACATTATCTTTGACCTTCAAAGGAGTCCTCTTGGAAGGCTTCACATATTGCTGCTTTTGTTCAAAACATTTCTGAGACTGTAACTCCCCTTTTGAAATTGCCTTCAAAAAAATTGTATGAGCACTACAACAAAACCAGGCCCATTGTTCTAGAACTACTCTATGTTATTGTTTAAAAACAAAACAAAATTTAAAAAACCTCCAAATAGAATTATTCAGTTTCATCATCATCTTATTCACCGAATTTGGCTATTTCCAAAAATCCAATGTCCCTTTAAAGGATAAAGATTTGCTACCATTCCAAAGAATATGCTGCAGGCACCAAAAATGTTTTCAGCAATGGCAGCATCATTGGAATAATTGTTTTATTCCTCAAGAAGACTACTTTGAAAGGGATAACACTCTTTCGGATATATAACTTCTGATTTCTTTGTTTAAAAAAAATCAGCTTTATTACCATATAGTACCATCATATGGAGAGAACCTGTTAGGCTGCCTAACTTTTCTTAAACAATATCTTTCCACTGTTTCCCCTTCTATTCATGAATCCATGTAAATGGAAATGAATTTCTAAAATATCACATCAGTTTTGCTCCTTGTTAGCAGTTCTGATAAGAACCAGCTACCAGGTTGACTTTAAGGTCTGGCAACAGCCCAGTACAGATTCTTTAAACCAAATATGTAACCTGTCCGCCTGCCATCTATTAGTATCTATCTACCTCTCATCTATAATATAGCAACTACCTACTTGTTTAGAGGAATGGTGATTAATGATAGGAATTAAAGAGATTCTGAAATAGGAAAATGGCCAGAAGGGGAAGTGTGGAACCCAAGCTCAATGGTTATATCTCAGTTCCTTTCCTTCTGATCTTAGGGATGTAGAGTGAATAGATATAAAAAGGTCCATTGATGCTATGGGGCCTACCTGAGAAAATACTATGCCTCATGAATATGTCCATTATCGCCATGAATTCACCACAGTTGTTTCATCACTTTTTTTTAAAGCTACAAACTAGTGTTAATAAAGCATCTAATGCAAAAGTAACAATCCAAACAAAACATAGGAGGGGAAGGGTTTCCTAACCTAGCCATCTTGCTATAGACTTGCCAAGAATTGATTGATTACATGAGGAGTAACAAGGTTAATTGTATTCCGGTGCAGAAGAAAAAGTTTATTGATGTGAATACCATTCTCACCGTACAAATACCCTGTATTACAAATAAGGTACAATCTCTCCTTAGTAATATAATGGGAAATGAGAAGAGAGCTACTTTTCTTTTATCTGAACAAACCATTTCAGGGACATAACAGGGCATCCTACTGTTTTGCAACTCGGCTGATATCATATTATGGTCTAGACATGTTCCTAACATTCCCTCTCTCTGGGGAATGTTTGGAGGCCCCCTGTGTCTCCTTCCTCTATATTTTTAACCAACTTCAAGACACTTCCCTGCTTGCCAATTTGCATCACCTGATATTGTGGAGTCCTATCTAATCCCAAGGGGAAAAAACAAAACTGGATTGATGATGTTTGCATTCACAGGTATGAGTGAATGAATGTCTAGTTTGCATAAAGGCTAATTAATGCTGGTAATTTCAGTGCTCCCTTCCTCTTGGTATTCTGTTGCTTACTTGGTATGGGGTGACAGATGTGTACATGAACTTCCTTCCTTTACCCACCCACAGTATGGATCTCTGGAGGCAATACAGGTCCTGTAGGAAGAAGAGGATCATAAGTCATTAGCAATCCATTCTAAACATACCATAGTTTTCAATAATGCATGATATATAAATACATACTTTTTGCACTTTCCATGGCGTTCACACCTGCCAAGAGGAACCTTTATCACACAAGTAGAGAAGGCAACATATAGAGAACTACTTGCTTTGTCCAGCTGCATGCCCATAATCCTCTTGTCTTCTATCCCATCATAACTGCACCTGATTTGACAAGGTGGTATGGCGTTATACATGAAACCTCCAAGGTAATTTCCCCTCCCCCCACCTCAACAAGGGGATTTTTCTAGCCTGAATAAGTTGAGGGGGAGAATTTTCCAGAACAGAGTGATTTATTAAGCTGAATTAGCTAAGGGGGAGATTGATGTCATTTTATTTTTTTCACCAGAGGAAAAATAAAGTTATTTATGTATGAAAGAATTTCACAATAAGTTCAAAACAATGAATAGCATTGAAATTTAAGACATAAAACAATTGAGAATATAAAATACTATCAATATGCCTTCATGATGTTAAACCTACATCTGCCACCATTTTTCCCCCACAAAGTGGTTCTAACTGCATGACACAGAAGCATCACGTGTGCTTCCACAAATAACTACTTGGAAAGAACAGAACGCTGTACACACTTTTCAGGGTTGTAAATGTTCATCTCCTCCAGGAAAAGGCTATCATTTAGGAAACCATTGTTTCCTGTCCTAGCCAAGAACTTCAAGATGATTCCTTTCTCTGATCCCAGGAAAACCACAGTGTGGTTCTGATGTGGCCCAGCAGCAGTATCTACAGCAATTTTGGTCAGGCGGTATCTGTAATGACAGCATTGCTTTTTAAAAAAGTCTTAGGATTACTCTATCATCGAAGTTTCCTTTTTCCCACTTCAAAAACTTATTTCATTACTTTCTAGTAATTACTTAAAGGGATATATAAGCATATAAATAACATTTTTTGAGCTCGGTTGGCCTTTGTCTTCACATGCAGAGGATTAGTGTGGCTCCAAATTTGGGTAAGCTTGTATGAGTGGGTTTGAACAAGGTCCCATGGTAAAGAGTTACCAATAATTATCTGTAACCACTTAGTAACGCTACTCCAATAAATGGCAACAAGGAGAAGGAATTGATACATCATTTAACTTTTATATTATTCTCATAGATGAAAGCAGTGAACATGGTTTTTCTACATTCTTCCATTAAGGAGTGATGCCTTTGTCAACACACTGTCAAAATGAAAGGTTAAGTGTATACCCAGACTCTGGAGGGAAGTCTGAAATGGGCGAGAGGGAGCATGGATTTTGCTTTCTGTACATGAAGAGGGGCTTATGTGCAGAAAGGAAATGTGTATGTTGAAGTCAAAGGTTGAATTAGCTCAGGTGGCTGAATAGGAAGGCACATAGATGCCAGGGAAAAGCAGTAATGGGCATCTTTTCTCTAGCCAGCATTTTCAGTTAGGAAACAATAGCTACTATGCATCAGTTTTCTATTGAGAGTTACATAGGACAGGCAAGAAGAGTTGACAAAATGGGTCTTTATGTAGGCTATGTATGATCATTACTACCTTATAGGTGTAGGGTTGAAGAGTCAGCTTTTTTTTAAATTTTTTTTTTGGCAGCCTTGAAACCTCACTCCCATCTGTGAATACTTTAGGTCACTCCTTGATAGAGGCAAACTTTTTTTTTGTCTGGAGGACTACCATTTTCAGGTGGCACTTTAGAAACCTCTTACAATGTTCAGACATTACCTTAAAATAAATATGGGGGTATAACTTAATTATCATTATATAACTATTTCTCTTATTGTCACTTCATTTCTGGATGAGGATTAGGAGTAGAATTCTTTCCTCCAACACATGTATGAAAACATATATGCATATGTATATGCATATGTGCATAGGCATATGTATGCAGAATATATTCTGATTGATAGTTCCATATGTTGGGAACATATTCTAAGCAACTCCAAGACTATAAGAAGTTGAAGGAAAGGTGTCCATCTGCATTGTTAGAGGTAGTCTCTTCGTCAAGGAGTTCCCTCTACTAATGAAACCATATGTCCAGTCTCTACTCTACCCCTAACCCTACCCCTATCCCTACTCCTGTTTTGTTTTTTACAGATTTAATTTAGTGGTGACCTAAAGAAAAACTCTTTGCATTCCCTCTAAGAGCTAGCTTGTATTGAGCAATTCTGAAAATATTGGAACTCTTCGTACCTGAAAAGTTAATAATGGAGGTTTGGTAGTTTCTACTCAATTCTACCGTCATTTGTAGCTAGATCTATGCCTAATACAAGAGAAGTTGGTGGAATTTCAAAGCATGTTTTAGGAATATAGTCTTTTGCAATGTTAGTGAGGGAGAAAAGGCTCAACTATGATCTGCATGACACTTACCTGACCATCGTTCTCAAAAACCATGGCCTATTGATAATTGAAGGTACTGCTTCATCCATAAGAGGATGTGTCTTAATGAAGTTTAATGTATCATCAGGAAACTCATTGGAGCTTCCATATTTTTCTAATGATGCTGAACCAGCACAGCAACCTGGTCTAAAAGCAAGCAGAAAGGAAGGAAAAATAGAGCTTATTTAGTATCTTATGGCAAATTCTCTGCATGAATTGCCTCTCTAAGCACCAAGCATTAGACAGCAATGTACCACAGGCTGGGGAAAGGAAGCTGACCAATGCATAATGCCACCAAATAAAGTATGCTTAAATTTACTATGGGCTTGTTCATTCTTTAGTAGAAGTCTAGGATTCAGTTCTTCCCAGGTTGGGAATAATTTGGCTTACTACCAGAAGTAAAAATAAATCTCAGTAAGCAGATGATAGTGCTTATAACAAATGAACAAATCCAGGGTCCACACATCTGTATATTCCTTAGGACAGATACTTCTCACTCCCAGAGGTTTAACTATATGTTTGCTCATTATCATATTGATGATTATCAGTTCCAACTTTTACTGTTCGAGATGGGGGAAAGTGAGTAGAGTCTTTCAATAATGAGAAACAAAGCCATTTAAAATCTAGCCAAGGGTTCATATCAGTCAGCCTCAATGGAATCATCCCCAGTATCAAGAAATCACATTAAATTTGGTTGCCTTATTTTTTTTTGTAGACAGGTGTCAAAAGCTAACAACACAATAATACCGTGGGCATGAAAGAATCACAAAAGCTCTCTAATTAAGAAATAATTTGGTTTGGGAGCAAGAAGAATAAAAATCTGCTTGGCTTTCAATAAATTTTGTTATGTTAGAAATCATGGGACATCCTGTCCATAACAGGAAACAAGCACTTTCTGGTACAAAGTTTCTGATAAGCTCTCATGGGTGTGGTATTATAGTTGCTAAGTTCAGCCTGGACCATTGAGTTTCACTTTTTCGATGACCACAGGTTGCGCTCCTAACCCAGATCAGGCTTGCAAATACTTGCTAATGATTACAGGGGGAATTGAGCAAGAATATGTGGAAGGATCAGTGTGAACACACCACTTGGACACATTAAAACTTCAAAGGTTATCTTTAAAGAAGCGAATGCTGTAGGATTATTATTATGTTAGAGCATCTCCCTGAATTGACTCAACCTCTTGGTTGTCTGGAAAATAGCTAATCCGAAGTAGTGCCTTCAATCAATCAGTAAGTTATTTACAAGTCTTTTGCATCCTTAAGAGGTACTCTCAGCGTGAATTCCCAGTTAGTCTGCTGCAACTGAACAATCATATAAGGCATATTACACTTTCCAGATAAATCTTACTGAGATGCCTGCTGAACTGGGCAGGAGAGGGGGTTGGGGGAGGCTGCAATCCCAGGCATAGCAACCCTCACAAATCAGATTTTGCTAAAGAGTTTTGCATGAATTCAACTTGTTCAAGTCTCAGCTGTAGCTTTAGTTAATGAGGTCTAGATTGTGTCTAAACCTCTCTCCCTCCTGCGTTTTAATTTCTTATTATCATGGACTTGACAAACATCAACAAACTTTTTTTTTCTATATAAAGAACAATAGGAAAAAAGGAAGTCATGAATCTTCAGTGTAAACAGCTTGGGTTCCCACCCTCCCTCCCCCAAGGTATATTTCAAACTTAACACGGTAGTTAAAACATTGTCCTGCCTTTGCGTCCATTTTGGAACTTCCTTCTGCTTTCTTTAGGGTGGTTTAAAAAATTATTCATCGATGTTTCTTTTTTCCTTTTCTTAGGAATCACTATCACTACCTTCTCACTTCACCCCAATTCTCCCCTACTCACAAATGTCCTTTCTTGTATCAAGTATGTATAGTCATACAAAACAACTACACATGCTTCCCATTTCTGAAAATGTATATCTCTTCCTACAACTCTAGTGTACCACCTCTCTACCAAAAGATGGAAAGTATGATAAATCATCAGTCTTCTAGAGCCAAGATTAGTCATTACATTGATTATGGTTCTGAAGTCTTTTATAGCTGTATTCTTTTAAAATATTATAATCATAGTATGAGTTTAATCCTAAATCTCTTCCTCACTTCACCCTGAATCAATTCATATGAGTCCTAACAATTTTCTAAGTCAGTCTTTTTATTTTGTCATTACTTATGGTGCAATTTTTTTATACATTCATATTCTGTAACTTGTTCATCCACTCCCCAAATAATGGAGTTTTTGGTTCTTTGCTACAAGAAAAAGTATTACTGTAAGTATTGGTGTATATACAAGTCATTTCCCTCTTTACTCTTTTTAGCACATAAATCTGGTAGAGATATTTCTGGGTCAAAGGATATGCATGTTTTACTAACTTTGGGGGTATACTTCCAAATTGCTTTATAGAATGACTGGACTACTTCACAGTCCAACTAACAATGCACAGCCTGCACACTTATAGCCTCCCTGTCTTTCAAACATTTTGCCTGAAACATAAACAGTTCTGTTAGCTCCATGTTTTAACTCTGTATGAATCTTTATTTTTCAAATACATTTCTTATAGACAACATATTATGGATTCTGCTTTTAAATTCATTCTGATGCCCTCCACTTTGTGGATAAGCTTATCCCATTCAAGTTCATGGTAATAACCATTAATTGTGTATTTCACTCCATTATAATCTCTTGAGCTTTTTCTTTCTTGCACCTCCCAAAACCCTCTTCATAAAGAAGGAGGTGGAGAAAGAGAACGAATCTGATCAATTCTAACAATTTATAATCGAGGTGTTCCATTTCTATTCCCATTTTTCCTTTCTTCTCCAAGCCTAGCCTAAAAACACTTGTCTTTCTACTTTGTTTTTTTCTTTTTTAAATTTTTTTATGATAAATCTTCTGAAGCTTGCTTGTTTTGCTTTTGACTATTTCCTTATAACTCTACTTTCTCTCTTATACCCCTTTATCTTCTTTGTTCTTGCTTATTTCCTGGTTCAATGTAATATATTTTTATGCCAAGTACTCTCTCTCTCTCTCTCTCTCTCTCTCTGTCTCTTTTTCTCTCTCTGTCAGGTTCCAGGTAGAGTTCATGAGATATTTACTACCTCTACTTCTTACATTTCTTAAATATCTCAATTATGAAAAATAGTAACATCTTCCTCTTAATTTTTCATTTCTTCTCTAGCACATTTCTTTTCCCCCTCCCTTTTCTCTCCTCTCTTAAAATCCCCAAACAGAACAAAATAAAACCCAATTTTATCTTACTAAAATATCTCTGTTACCTTCAAAGGCAAAAGGATTCTTAATAAATGTTTTTCTCTTCTCCTCCATTAGGATGTACACACTTCATCACTGTTTGCCAAAATGTATTTACCCTTATAGGTACTTAGCTGCCTGTTTTTCATCATAAAAGCTTGAAAGTCTTCTATTTTGACAAAGGTTTATAATTTCGCTTGTGGAATTAAACTGAATTTACAGGCAAGTTACTCTTGGTTGTAAGCTTTTATCCTTTGCCTATTGCGATATTATATTCCAAAATTTTCTCTCCTTTACTATAGTTAAAGCATTGTCTTGACTGTTTTTGACTGTGCTTGGTGTTTTTAGTTTGGGGTTCCTTTTAGGATGCGATCAGTGAATTTTTCTGTTTTGCCCTCTAGTTCTAACAGATCTGGGAAGTTTTATGATTTCTTGAAATACGGTGTTCAGGTTTATTGTTTGCTCATGTTTTGGGGATAGTCTGATAATTCTTATGTTACCTTTCAACCTGTTTTCCAGTCAATCTTTTTTTTTAATAGTAGATACCTTAGATATTCTTCTATTTTTCAATCTTTTGACTTTGTTTAACTATTTATAATCATCTCAATGAAGCTTTAAGTCCTCACTGGTCCAACTTATCTTTCAGGAAATCTAGTAACTTTCTATATTTTATTCAAAGCTATTTCTTCTCCCAAATTCTAATTTCATTTTTATCTCTTCTGTCATTTTGATAGCACTTTTTTTTTCTGTGAGATTCTGCTTGTAGTAATTGTTACACTTTTTTTCTAAGTTTACCTCTTGGGCTTCTCTTATCCCATGATATTTCTTCATTATATTTGATGTTTTCTTCTACTCACATTTTCAACTTCAGTCACATAAAGTCAGTCCCCTCTAGTACTCTTGGATTGGTTGAAATATATATACACACATGTATACGTACATCTATACATCTCCTGGCTGAACGCTATTGGTTGTGGCTTTGGCTGGTTTAGGTTTGCTTTTGCTTCTCCAACTCTTGCATGTTGGTTCTGTCCCTTGCTACGGCCCTGACCAGCCACATACTGAATTAATATTCACTGATCTTAGACCTCCTACACAAAACCCCTCAATCGGGGGTATCCTTGTTCTGAGTTGACCTTATCTCCTACTGCAACAGCCAGTGCATAATCTGGGAGGCTGGCTCTATAACCTGTTTCTGTTCTGACAGGTTGGGTCTGGAATGTGGCTTCAGGCTCCCATGAACTAGAGCTTGGATTGGGTTGTGACCTATCCTATTAGGAGCACAGGATAACTTTTAGGAGCTTGTATTGGTTTCCCTGGTACAGGCCCTTTCTTATCCTTCATTGGCTTCCCACTCATTTCCTGGAATTCACACTGGTTTCTCTGGTCAGACAACTCTACTGACCTTTGCCAGCTTCTGGCCATCTTTTTGTTGAGTTCTGATTGGAACAGATGATCTTAGTTCTGTTTCTTTGATTTTCTTTATCATTTATATATCTGGAGCCCTTGTAAGATATTTTCTGGAGCTCAAGTGGGGTCCTTTTCAACATATCACATTGCTATGTTAAACTGAAATCTTCCTCAATTTTTAAAAATTAACAAAAGAATACATCTTCTTTTGACAAATCACTTCCCAAGAAACAATCTTTCTCCCCTCACCCCAATACCTTCCCATTAAAAACAATGGGTTATATTCAATTGCCTCGTATAGTTATGTTTCCTTTAGAAAAATGAATTCTGGGAGGCAGCATAGTATTGTGAATTGACTGTTGGACATGGAATCCGGAAAACCTAGGTTCAAATTCTGCCTCAGATATTTGCTAGCTATGTGACCTGGACCTCTCTGAGCCTCAGCCTTCTCACCTGTAAAATGACAAAGTTGGACTCAATGACCTCTAAGGTTTTTTCTAGCTCTGTATCTGTGATTCTATGATCCTATGGACATTGGTTCTGCCAGCAGAGATAAGTCCATTTCCAAGTCTGGGGATTATACTACAGACTAGCTAGGCCTAGGGACTTCCAAAGCCATCTCTGATCTGGAGATTCTTTAGGAAACTTATTCTTGTATTGGTGTAGGAGTTTAATTGTGCTAAAGCAAAGACCTTGGGGTCTGAGATCTCCCCATTTGAAATGGACCAGGAATATCCCACGGTCAATTTTACTAACCAGGGCTTTGAAGGGAAGGTGCAACATTTCTATTTGGCACTTCATTAAATATTGAAAAGCAAAAATTGTTTTAAAAATATAATGTTACATCATGGCTTGAAATCATCTGCAAATGGGAGCAACTGGAGAACCCCATCATCTCTAGGGAATCTCTTTTCCATTTGGACTGCACTGAAAATGTCAGTGATATCACTATAGTATGGTAGGAAAAGTGCTTAATTTGGAGTCAGAGGACCTCAAAATTTCAGCCAAAGCTCTGCCCCTTACTACCTCTATGATCTTACCTTTTTAGGCTATGGCTACCTCATCTGTAAAATAAGGAAAGAGTTGAACTAGATAACATCTAAGGTCTCTTCTAGCTCTAAATCTCTGTTGTTCTGATCACCAAGTGGAGAGCTGGTAGATCTGGTTTTGTAGCTAACATGATGGGTGCCTTAACCTCTTTGACCTGTACAATGAGGAGAGTTGGAGTAAATGACCTGTGAGGTCTCTTCCAGCATGAGCTCAGTCCAGCTTTAGGAAGTTAAGCAAAGTGTTAGCAAGTGACTATTCTTTAGTTTAAGGTTAAAGTGATAGAAGGTGACAACCTCATGTCTAAACATAGCAAGTGTTCTCTACAGGAATCTATTTTTAGACTTCATTGTAATCTATATTTTACATTTCCAACACAAAATGGATTAGCACATTGCTAGCAGAATATCTGTTCTGTAAATGCAAAATATCAGCATTTCTATCTACATAAAATTGTACTAGAGAGGGATGTACCTGGGCTTGGGAACCCGCTCATCAGGAACTGGTGTCCACGTGGAATCTGGAGATTTCTGTTCTTTGAACCTCCCAGTGAAAACATTGGCAATATCAACCATGTCATAGGCACAGACTGCAGACCCAGGGATGCTGTAACATAGCATTTCACAGAAAGTGTTACCTGTACAGTAGTGATAAATACAATTTTGACTTGAAAAACATGCTCTTAGAAATTTTCCTGTCACAGGTTGTCCAGTATTAAACTTTCTAATTTGGGGTTTTTGATTGGAAGAGGTTACTTAATGCAAGGGTTTCTAGCAGGAGAATTTTCTCCTGCTGAGATTTCTATCAATGTCCTGAGTTAATTACAATAAAGTCAAAGGTGGAAATATCTCTTCTTTCTTCCTACCCCTCACTGTCCTTTGAGACATTCATATATTTTTATATCCTTTGAGCCTCATACCATTCAAGCATAAGGGGGGGCCATCTACCAGTTGGCTATTTAAAAATTTTTCTATTCCTAGATATTAATTGCCAATCAATAACCCACAGAATTCAACCTCTAGAGAGTGTTCTGCATGTCAAATATCCATGCAGCTAAAGTATTTGTCAATCATTGGGACTGACCATTACTTTCCTGCTTATTTGGGTATACTTTTGAATAACTGCCTATCTCCAAGAACCAACGAATGCTCCATTCTGGTGCTCGAGGATTCAAATGTAAAAACATTTTAAATCAGATGCTGTAAATTTAAATTTTGACTTTCTGTTTATCTGCATAAGACTAAATAACAACCATATAAGCTACTACAAAGCACTATGCAAATACAAAGTACTATATAAATGCTAAATAATAATGATGATAATAATCTCTACCTATAATTACATCTTTGCAAGATACTTTTGGGAGGACTTAGAGATTTTTCTTCTTCAGTGGTGGGAATACATGAATTATTCATTCATCTCTGTTTATTGTTTGCACATAAACTCATGTTTGTCTGAAGGTAGCTAGACCATTTTGATCAAGTAAATAGTAGGCACCATCTGGCTGAAGGTTTTAATCAGGCTTTTAGGTAGTGAACTATTATACTCCCGCATCAACTAAAGACTCGGGGCACTAGCCCTTTGACGTGTGGGAACGTTATCAAAGAGCTGAGAAAACCAATTTTGGTATGTTACATATGCTGAAATGATATGGAAAAGATTTCACAAGTGATGACGAGGATTTTATGCCCTCTTAATTTCCTAATACAATTATTAACATGTTAATAATATAAATAAAAAGAATATGGTGTTTTAAGTAGCTTTTATACAAGAGGAGAAAAGTAGATAAAATATAAAATCCTGAATTTTAAAAAGTGATCAATGTCTTTTCATCAATTTGCATATCTAAGACAGGGATTCCCTTAAACATTCTAGAATTGGAATCATTTATAAAAAACTTTTCTTTTTCTATATTCCTTTCATCAGAGGCAACATACCATAGCAAGTAGAGAGTGAGTCTCCAAGCCAGAAAGACCAGAATTTGAGGGTCACCTTTGACACATACAGGCTGTGTGACCTTGAGCAGATTACTTAATTTCTTGGTGATCTAGGCAATTCTCTAGTACTATAAATTGCAGAGAAGGTGCCAACCTGAACTACAAGTGGGAGTTTCCTCACTCAGGAGTTTCCTATACCAGTGAAATCAGAGATTCCGTCTCTAACCTTATCCTTCCATATCTCCTAGTGATAAAAGTGCTATATGGCTTATCTTTATTTTGTGAATTAAAATAAATTTTGCTTTGAGAATTTCATATCTCTTAAAAATAACTAGAAACTCCTTAGGTAGTTGCCAAACCATAATAAAAAAAGTCACATTTGGATCTGGAAAAGAGACTGGGTATATTTAAACTGGGAAGTCATATGTGTAGTTTTTTTAATTGGATTGAACAAATGTCGCTTTTTAGGATGTAGAAAGGGGTACACAGGAAAATGGGCATGAAGTTTGTGTGTATATACATACATACATATATAAATACCCAAATCAACTACAAAGGACCTAAAAAGGAAGATGCTATTTGCATCCAGAGAAAGAACTGATAAATTTTTGAGAAGATATTTTAGAAAAAATACCTTATATGGGGTTCTACAGTACCCAAAAGCCTATTACTGTATACTGGTGGCAAAGTAGCCATGAAATGGTCAGACTGAAAGGCTGCTACAAAGGGTACTAGCCTGGGTTCCTGAGTCCAGACAGGACTATCCTTAAAACAATGTTACACAGATATGTTCCTATTTATTAAAAAAAATAAATAAAAAATCATGGGCTTGAGATTCCAGTCTTCCCATTCCACTGTTGAATGTAATAAGTTATTCGGTTATGTACAAATTAGTTGCCCTGCCAGTAGAGTAAGGATCTTAGCCCTTACTGGGAATTTTGAAATATGCAGTCCCAGAGAGAGGTCATTCACCATTCAAATCATTTCTTACCCTGAAAGAGACTAGAACTATCAGAATCTTTGAGCTAGAAAGATGGACTTCCTGTGGCAATAGGAGCTTTAGGAGGAGTCTGTCAAGGAGCTGAAGAGAGGGAGTATGCCTGCTGGAGACAGATGGGCTAGAGAGGAGAGAGGAAAAGCAGCAACAGGGCCATGTGGATTGGGTCCCTGCAGCTGTCCTGTTGTATTATGTTCCAGAACTGGGGACTGAGGCTAGCCTCAGGGCAAGCTCCGCTTTATGAACTCAGAACAAAGAACTCAGGCTAAAACTTGTAAGATATGCTGGTCCCTTTAATGACACCCCAGTTACTTAAGAAGTGGGGAAAACTTCAGAAAGGCTTTATTTTTTCCAGCTTTCCTTTCCCAATACATGCTTGCTAATAGGAGCTATTATGTCTTTTTTTCATGTTAGCCCATTAAGCTGTTTCCTTATCCTCGTTTTGCTTTAAATAAAATCCATGATCAATTAAGAATACTTTATACTCCATGTCTGTATATGTATTTGGTGTAGGGAAAGGGAAAAGAAGAATCCCAGTGACTAATTGTAACTTACAGAGTTAAAGAACAGATCTGATGGTCAGATTTGAGTTTGACCTAGGGGATCTGGGACAGTTTGAGAGGATCTTATGGTGATGCTTTTTATTAATAAGTTATATTCATAAGCTCCCTAAAATAGCTGAGAAAGTAGACAACAAGGCTCTTTTGCCTCTAGGCTAGGGAAGGAGTATTTGCTACTTTAGACCTAGACCTAGACCCATATGCAAACCTCTGGTCTTAGACAGAAGAGGAAAGGTGGAGTGGAGATGTGGACCAAAGGTACGGTCCCACCCTTTGGGCCAAGTACTGGGATGATAAAGCTGTGATCTGGGAGAACTCAACTCCCCACAATACTGCAGGGGGTGAAAGTAAAAAAAGACCTTCCCAGTCAACTTTGCTCTACAGCGACACCTACTGATTATACTAACAATCCTTTCAGAGAAGAAATACTTCTTGATCTCCAACAGAAAAATTCATTCTATAATGTGAATCCATTAGTTCATGTCTGCACACTGGAAAGTAGTTGGTCTCTGTTCTCCCTCTATAGAACCAAAAGATATAGCATCTTTTAACTTGTTCTTTTCATATCATCTTTTTAATTTGTTCAAGGCTGAACTCAATTTGTCAAAATTTCTTCATAGAAACTTTTACCTGTTATTTCATCATCACAGAACTGGAGCAATTGTCCTACAGCATCATCCTTTAGGATTTCTCTAAGTGTTCCAAATATCTCTTGAAATAAGTAACATTCAATAGAATCACAAGAAGTTATCACTAGAAGGGACCTTATTCATCCCCTTAATTTTACAGACTTTTTTTTTTTTAACAACAACAGCAACAAAAATGGCCTAGTGAGGGGAAGTGACTCACTCAGGGTCACACAGCTAGAAAAGAGCTAGCTGGACTAACCTCCAGTCTTCTGGCTTCAAATCCATGACACTACACATTTAGAGGATGGTATTGTCCTTAGAACACCATAAGTGCTACACAGAGCTAAGCTTATAGTCTTTCATATATTCTGCTCTTATAAATAGGCCCAGAACCACAACCACTTTTTACATAGAAGTGCTGTGCTTCTGTTAGCCTTTGAAGGATATATATGTCAGGATAGAAATTCATAATCAGGAATCCTCATACTGGGAGAAGTAAGAAACAGTTGTATTTCCATATAAGGAAATTGAGAGGAAAGTAGCTCTGGGTGAGGAGCTTCAAGAACCAGCTAAAATTGGGTGAAACTTGTTGCTTGATTAAAGAGGCTGGAGGTAGGATAAAGGTTAAGCTCTGCTTAGAGTGCGCATGCTTAATAGGCTCATGAATGCTAGCTTCTCACTTCCAGGCAGGGTTAAGATGCCGTTTTCTAAACATGCGATGGATGAAGAAGGGGGTAGAAACATACCCAGGGGAACATGTGATGGGCGTTTGCGGAAGTCTGTGCCCTGTGCTGACATCTACCTATGAAAGTCAGCTAGGAGGGACTTGCCACAGGGAATAGGCACACAAGGTTTGCTCTTGCTTGTGTAGTGTGCATGTGCTTATCTCGAGTTCCACGTCCGCTTCCTGACGCGTATTAAAGGTTTCAGTTGCTTCACTCATCCTGAGTCTGTCTAACTTACTGTGCCTATTTGAGCACCAGACGTTATTTCCAACAATACCAAGTTTATTTTTCTGACATTTTTACTTTACTTTTGGTAGGGTTATTCATCAAGTTATTTATTTTCTATCCCTTAATTTCCTGATTTGAAAAGAGAAAAATTAGATTTAATATTGTTGAAATTCTTGAATAGAATGTTCTAGATACATAAATTAAATTCATAATATCTTGATCTCCGGCTCTAAAATTGTCCTTGAGGTCCATTCTAAAGGATAGCTTTGCAAGCAAAACTGTCTTTTACTGAGGATCATTTTATACTTCAGTAACTAAATATCCTTGGAAAGCATGTAAGATGTGTTTGACTTCTCTCAAATTATATTCTAAAATATAGTACTGATGTTCTAGTGTTTCAGTCACCAACCCACATTTTAAAGCATTTTATGGGGAAAGAATGTGACCTCCAGATAATTTACCTTCTCCTCTGTCCCCCCTCTTTTATCTCTTGTTAATTAATGCTAGAGTCAGTATGACAAGTCTCTCACTCCCTTCATTCATCAACTTCCACTGCTTATTCCTCACCTGAGATCATATCCCCTTTATGAGGCCAGCTCCAAGGCAACTAACTATAGGGTCACACCCAAGTGCCTATAATCTGTGTCTGCTTCAGAAATAAGCTGCTTGAAAAGATGAATATGTAAGTGACCAGGCTGCCATTTTCATATAAAAGTCCTTTGTTATAATACACAGAGGAGAGGCACTACAGAGCAATCTGTGGCCAAATACACTAGTCTCCATAATGTTCAGAGAGGCTTAAAAAAAATGGCAAATAGCTGTTGTATTGGTGCCAATTATCTCTTTAAATGCTAGTCACCATCTCCTTAAGAGATAGACAAAAGCACAGGGGACAAAGATTAAATTGAAAGCACGAAAATAGAGCAGCGTCTAATTCCTTTCTTAAAGCCCCCCCCTATCTAATGTGTGCTTATAAATTACAGAATTTATTGATGAAAACTGGATATTACCTGCTTTTTAGATGCTCATAAATGAATATTTTTTCCCTTATGGTTGCTAATGTGGTACATTTTAAGAGAAACCTCACTGGAAAGGGCAGAAATAAAAACAAGATAAGGTCAGCAGCCAATGCATAGTTACCTGTTATAAGGTGTGGAGAAGGTTGCTAGGACAACATCACGGCCATTAATATGGATAACATCTGTAACTGCCTGCAGTATGTTGAAATAAAAATGCGAATCACCAGGAACTGAGCAGTTCAAACGAGCCTTGAGAAAGGAAGTCCACTGTTTTTCCAGAACTCTTTGTGATCCTCCCATGTCATTCTTGCAAACCTGAGCGACTCTTGGAAAAACTACCTAAAACAGGCAAAGCACAAGGGGAGGGTGAACACACTTGGACTGTGAGAGGGAGGACCTTAGTAGAATTCTGCTTTTCTTTAAAATTGGGCTGGAACAAGGCACTTAATTTAATCCCGTGTTTCTATAAGCTGTGGAAAATAACAAACTGGAAAACTCAGCTTTGGAAGAGTGTGCTATAAAAGATAAGGCTGTGGCATTTAATACATAAATCCTTCAAGAGATCAGTTGTCAGCCACATTAACTCATTTCCATATGGATGGCTGCTTAACTTTCTATTTCCTCCAACAAAGGCACATTTTACATTAAATATCCCTGCAACCCACACTGGCTGCCTCTGTGCCTCCTATCTCTACTCCTTAAAAGGCTTCAGATTTAGCTGGTTTTTTATTTATGCCCTCCACCCTTGGTGACCTGAATCATTTCATTATGTTTATCTGGAAAGCCATTGTGCCCAACTGTTTTCATCCAATACTCTTAAGACAAAAAAGGAAAAGCCAAAGCCTTCCTTTGCTTACTCTCTTTATCCTGGACTCCCTATTACACTTGAAAGTCAGGGTTTTTTTTTTTTTAACTACTTGAAGCTATTCTTGGAATTAAACAAATCTGTGTGGGTTACATTTTTTTTTTTGTAGAAATAGTTTAATATGCCTTCAAATCATGGAGTGAATATTGAGAAAGCATGATGTTTCACTCTGACCAAATGTTGGCCTCAGCAGCAGGACCTTCTCAAAATGATGACCCTGTCAATATGATTTATGACTCTCATTGCAAGGTCATTCATAACAACATTGCTCCTGAAGTGGATTCCCCAGGGTATTACAAAGGAGGCTACATTCTCCTCACTTACCTTTCCCATGCTGTTGTATTCCACTGCAATTTCCCTAAAGAAGAAGTAGATATAGTCACCATAATCCACTGCTTGTACAAAATATGGTTCTGTGAACAAAGAGACACTTTGGTTGGGAATAGATGATACAGGAAAAAAAAAAGAACTTGCAATTTATGCCAAAGTCCACATGTTAATTAAATACGTAGAACCATTAGATATTTGGTAACCATTAATTCTAATGACCTTATAAATATAAATGTTGACAATCACATAAGGTACTTGCATATACACATTATGAAAAGTCAAAAGCAATCCTACACTGCAATGAGAATAAAATAAGTTCTGACAATTTCCACAATTTTATTTTGTTAACCAAATACTTCAGAATAGACTATGCCCGTTTCTTAATGTAGCTGTGAATCTTCCATAGCCTTTACTTCATTCTCCCACACTCTTCTGTCCCCTATGCCAACCTACCAGTGAAATATGATGGTCCTATCATATAGAATGCTAAAATGAGGGTTTAAAGCAGAGGAAGATGAATGTAATGTATTTGATTACACTGACACTGGTAGTTTTGTTAACACCTTTAGTAACTCATGGGAAGGAAAAAAATGGAGGTAAATAAATCATCTGAGATAAAAGGGGCAATTTACACTTTCCTATCTGTCAGAAGCTATTGCTAAAATGAAACTACACTATTGTCTGTGAGGACTTTAAGTCTCCCACTAGACATGCATTTTTTCCCTCCTTTCCCTTCCTACAACCCTCCTTTTTGTTGTTTACTCACCTTTCAACCATTTTGAGTCATGTTTGACTGTCCTCAGGGTTGGGCTGTCTCCAAGGCTCCTATAGATGACTGCATCTATTGCAAGGAAGTCAGTCACTGTGGCAGAATATAGTTTTCCATCTTAGGAGAAGAAAATAATGGTTAGAAAGGAGAACAAGGTAGAGAAGGAAGGGAATAATGTGGAGAAGTCAGGCAAATTGCCTTCTGATATCAGGTAGATGAGATAGGACCATTGAGATAATCCAGCAGCCTGTGAAAAGAGAAACCCCCAAATCTTACCCTTATAGATTAGGATGATGTGAGATTAAGCTTAAAAAAAAAATCCTGGTAATCTCTAAGCAGCTGCTCTGGAATAGAAGGGCAAATGACAAATTTTCCTTGCTCTGCTTGATTAGAAGGGACTTAAATGATACCCTGAAGTCTGGTCTCCTTGGGTACTACTGCGGGCCCAACAACAGCAGGTAATTAGACATGACTGAAGTTGGAAAAAGAGGTCACTTGTATCACACATAATTACAAGTACAGATGCAATTAATAGAGTAGCCTTTAACCTGAATAACTGAGTGAAGTGGAAGAAGGTGTGGGAAAGAGATCAATTAATCAATAAGCACTTCCAGAGTGTCTACTATGTGTGAAGCACTGTGCTAAAGTCTGAAGAAAAGAAATAAGGGATACGTCCCTGACCTCAACTAGCTTGTGTTCTAACAGTGAACATGCACGTGTGTATGTGGTTGTGTGTTTGTGTGCATGGGTGTATATGTCTGTATGTATAGACATATTCATATACTGCTACAGCTTGCAGTGAAGAGTCTAACACATGGGAAACCTGTTTCTGATTGTTAATGAACTGTCCTGAGGAGGGAAGGAAGCCCCAGTGTTTCCATAGCATCCCAAAGTCATACACCAAAGTCTAGCATTTCGATAGCATTTTAAGGTTTACAAAGCATTTCACATATCTTAGCTGATCCTCACAACAACCCTGTGAGATAGGTGCTATTATTATCCCCACTTTACTGATAAAGAAACTGGGGGTGAGAAAAGTTAAATGATTTACCCAAGGAAATCTAGCTAATAAGTGTCTAAGGTGGAATTTGAATTTAGATCTTCTTAACTCTAAGTCCTACATTCTATCCACTGCTAGTTCCACTTAGCTCATATCTATCTATCTATCTATGCCTGTCTCTGTTTCGATCTAGCTAATCTATCTGTCTCTATTTCTATTTATCTATCTATCATCTTTATATTTGATCAAAGGCAATAGGGAACTACTGGAGTTTATTGAATAGGGAAGTGAAGTGGTCAAAGCTGCTTCAAGAAAATAAGTTTATTGGCTTTGTGGAGGATGTATTGGAGTGGGGAGAGGTCTGAGGTAGAGAGACTAAATCTCTCTTTAGTCCCTGTGAGAGGTGATGAGGGCCTGAACTAGCATGGTAGTTCTGTGAATGGAGAGAAGGAAATGTATTTGACAGATGCTGTAGAGACAAAAATTACAATATTTGACAACTGACTGGATATGTAGAGCAAATGAAAGTGAAGAGTTAAAGATGACACTGAGATCGCAAAGCTAGGTGACTGGAAAGATGGCAGTACATTTGACAATAATGGGGAATTTCAGTAGACAGGTGGGTTGGAGGGAAAAAATAATGAATTCTGCTTTGGATATGTTGATTTTGAAATGCCTATAGGACATATAATCAAAATGTCCAGTAGGCATGTGGTACTAGAGCTCTGGAGAGAGATTAGGGTTGGATCCATAGAAATCTGAAAATCAATTACATAGAAATGATGATAATTCAACCCATGAGATAGGATGTCAGCAAAGAGAGAATATAGCCTTGGGAGTACACCCATAGCTAGAAGTCAGATTGCATAGAGTTTAGATGAAAAAGAATGAGGAAAGGGAGTGGAGACTCTAGTGTAGACTGCTTTTTCCTAGGAGTTTGGCTGTGAAAAAAGAAGAGAGAAAATAGAATGATATCTAGATGGGATTATGGGGTTTAGTTTTTTTTTGTTTTGTTTTGTTTTTGTTTTTTTGGATAGAGGAGACACAGAAATGTTTGTAGGAAGCAGGAAAGGAACCAATTGATAAAAGCTGAAAACTTAGGTAATGACATGAAGGGGCAATCTGCTGGAGAAAATGGGAAAGGATATGGTCAAATAGAGGGAGTGGCCTTGATGACAACGGTCACCTCTTTTTCAGAGACTGAAAGAAAGTAGGGGATATTGTCAAGGGCGTAAATATGCCAAGGGAGGTGACGCGATTTACTAACTTTCAGGCAGCTCTCTTAGATTCAAGCTACTAAGGATCACCAAGCCTTTCCATCTGCCCTACAGATGAGCTATCCTAGAAGTGTTGTCTATTCCAATAAGAATATAAGCCTCTTGAGAGTGGGAATAGTTTTCCTTTTCTATTTGTATCTCTAGTGCTTAGCACAGTGCTCAGCACATACAAAGCACTTAATAAACACTTGTTAATTACTCACAAGAATAATCACATTACACAGCTATCAATCACCAAATTCTATTAGGACAAACAGAAATGATGATGATGATGATGATTATGATGATGATGATGATGATATTGCTAGCTAATATTTACATAGCACTTTAAGGTTTGCAAAGCAAACATGTATTGTTTCATTTGGTCCTTACAACAACCTCATACAGTAGCTCATTCGGTAGCATTTATGGATGAATACCCTGAGGTTCATAGAGGTTTAGTGACTTGCCCAGAGTGAGGCAGCTAGCAGGCATCTAAGGCAGCATTTGAATTCAGGTCTTCCTGATTCCAAGTCCACAGACATATTCACTGTTTCAACTAGTTGCCTAAATTAAATTATTTTTAAAAATAGAAAGTCAGTTTGTTGATGTATTTTTAAAAATGGATTATATTCTTTCAGGAATAAAATGGCAAAATAATTGCATTGTTTATTTTCCATTAAGAAATTGCACATTTATTTTCCATTCCTTAGCATAGTCCATTGTTTAAAAATAGCTTCCACAAATCATTAAAACAAATTTTCCATTACCTACATCATTTTACTTCTTCAGCTTTAGTTCAGGTAAAAAGCAAAGGCTTTGCTTTGCTATGTGCCCTTTTTCAAAAAGCATTGACATTTTAATTGGTTCAGAGTTGCCCTAAATAATTCTGTGCACTTGAGTAGGGCCCGTGAGGCCATTCACAAATAAGAAATGCTAATGAGCTAGATCTATCTAGCTATACACTTCAATACTTTTGATTACATCAAAGTGGCCCTTGAAAATTGCAACCCCTTCCCCCCTTAATAGATAGCATTTCATGAGTTGCTGTGGCCCAAAAAAGATCCATCAACTCGGCAGCCTTCTGGCAATGAGTCTCTCCACATTTATCACATTAGACATACTGACTTTGAATCGGCAGACTCAAAGAATTTCTACCTGTTAGTTTTTGTTTTAGAGAATTTTTGCTGGTGTCAGTAAGGTGGGGACCCATGATTACCTAGATACCATGATGTACATCTTCACACATATTTGCATAGATATGCATTGAAATGGAAATCACTGGTTTATTGTCCATGTCTCTTGAGCTACAGAAGGAGGCCCAACACAATGTTGGGAACTGCTTTGGTACCCTCCACTAGCAGAAGTCATTTGCCAAGGCTGTGTGTGCATTGGGTGGGGAGGAAGAAGGGCTAATATCAGGTTTTGGGAGACACTGCTCTATCAGTTCCACAAAACCTTGACTTTCTTTGCATTACTTCCAGATTGCCTTTTATATGTCCCACTGTTACGCATACACATGCATATAAGTGTGTGCATATATAAGGGCAGGGTTGAAACCATCACCATTTGGCTATGTTGCCTTGAATAGAAAAAAATACTTTTTGATTGAATCAAATGATCAGAACTGAGTGTGAACAGGGCCTGTAAACCTGCTTCAATCAAAGCCATTGTGTGTGAGCAATGGAACCACATCCTAAGTAATTTGTAGAAAAGGAAGAAACTATCTCAGAATGGGGGGAAGGGTGAAAGGATTCTGAGAAAGTGGAGAATTGAGCTGTGGTAAAGAAGAGAGATACAGAGGAGAGTCATTGGCTCTGTAAGCATCTCAGAGAGGAGGACCTAGGCTATGGCAAATCCCAAGAAAAAGCCAGATCTTCCTCCAACTTCCTTATCAGATTCCCAGTCACTATAATATAATCTTCTGGGTTTGTTTGTTTTTTTTTTTAATCCAGATGTTTCCTGGAAACTGAATTTTTCTTCTACCACAAAGAGGTCAATGAGTTAATCAGACACAGATATAAAAGTAAGGTTAGGTAGAAAGTCCAGTCTCTGCCTAGATGTTAGGAATTTTCCTAACTGGAGGCTCAAAGTGATTAGAACTAAACTTATAACTTTTTACATAAAATAAACTCCATCAAGCTTAAGAGGGACCTACTGAGCCTTTCATTATATTGCCCCTAGACTTAACACTAGCTAATTACTGTAACAGTATCGCATATATACATATGCATATGTACACACATATAATTATATATACACAAACATGTTTAAGGGGGGAGCGCCTTTTGGTCCTAGCCAAATTTGTAGGTGAAGTTCTTTTGTATGTGAACTACTTACATACCTAGGTAGGGAGAGGTCCTTTCAGGTATAAGTGATTCATTTCTATCTCCTTAAGAATACAAGGCTTTGAGTAATTAATTAGTATGTTAAAGGGCCAAGGAAGTCACTAAATTTTCAGCAGAAACAATGAACTTATTCACCAAACCATAGGTTACCTCTGAACCTTTTCCCTAGCTATTCCTTTGCCAAGACCAAGTAGAGAAGCTTAGAGTTAAAAAAAAAAAAATGAAAGAAAACTGGGGAAATCTAAACCCCAGAGTTATTTGATAATTATTTGGCAAGAGGTCATTGCCTGGTTTTGGTCTAGGCTACCAAGATTTGGGAAATGTTATTAGATGACCACCATAAGTTAGAGTGAGGTCTCTCTCCCTAAGGGGATTTTGCCTTGAACTAGGAAGACTAGGTAAAAGAAATGGAAAATCTTTTTCTTAGCCTTCAAGGGCTCCCAGGCAAGGCCTCAAGGGCATGGAAAGGGACATACTTGTTAGTCTTAAACCAAGAATCTCTGAAAGAGAGCCGCAGAATCCCCAGCCCAGGGCTGCAGTTGAGCCTAAGCCTGGAGCTGGTGGTGGTGAAGCCTGCAACTGCCTATTGAAGAGCAAGCCCAGAGTCCAGTGAATTGGCCCATCCAGAAGAGATGCTGTGGCCTACAAAGGGCAAGCCCAGCTTATCAGAAGAGATGCTGCCAATCAAAGATACCATGCCCAGCAGTGAACTTCATGAGGACTCTACAAAGAAGAAATACCAGCTATGAGTTGCCTTTGTCACATATCTATGCTAGCTGTTACCCTGGGGTACCTTTAAATTTGTGTCCACTATTCCCATGTGTTTTTGTGTATTGCCCTGGGTCACATAGTAAATATCTGAGGTAGAATTTGAACCCAGGTCTTCCTGACTTCAACTCCAATTCCCTATCCCCATGCCATCCTGCTTCTTCTTACCCTGTAGCACACAGGATACCCTTTCTACATACCTTCTAATTTCTCTGCTCAAACCAGGCCCACAATTAACTGATCAGTTGTAGCCATCGTCCTTCATTGCCACTGGTTCATGCAGGTTCCTGTAGATATTAGAGGGCTGACAGGAGCTATGCAATTGAGAAGATTCCAGGGCATTTCTGCTATTGGCTTTGCTCCTGCCCAAGTCTCCACATAGGGCTCTGTGATTACATGTATTCATATACAGTGCTGTGCCACAGTAATATTGTGCCCTAGACTAGAAGATGACCCAGGGAAGGCTTTCTTTCTCTTATACAATCCACCTCTACAATGTACGTGTTGGGGAATCCGGCCCCTTCAGGGGTCCTGATAAAAGTATAAATAAGGAAGAGTTAGCCAACCTGCTTTATAATAAAAGCCCTCATTCCCCCTTTCCTCCCCACCCCACCCACCACAGTGCTAGCTTTTAGCTTTTGTGAAGGAAATTATAGCCAATTCTAGCATATGCTCCACCAATAACTATTATACCAACAATTTTCTCTATACCCACCTCACATACACAGCTGATAATGAATTCTTAAATAAATTTCTAAGAAAAAAATAAAACGGAAATCAAGGCTTATCATCAACAGCTCTTGAGCTGTGGAAAGAGGCCCAGCCCAAGGAAGCGCTCCTAAATCCTCCACTGGCAGAATCCATCTGTCAAGACTCGGTGGGGTTAACATCAGGGGTGGGAACAATATGATTCCTGAATTCCACAAACCCTTGATTTCTTGTGTATTATTTCCAGATTGCCTTCTTCAGGCCCCACTGTTAATAATCATTTCTGATGGATTTAGGACTGCACCTTGACCTCTCCATGCTTTTGCTATTATGACTGAATGAAGTCTTCTGGTACAGAGACTTAATGCCTTTTGGATTCCCCACATCCTCCTGAGTGAAGAGTCTCAGTCCATTTTAGACAATCCACAAAGTTTCACACTTAGACAGCACAAACCTGTACTAGGCATTTGCAGAGGGGAGCGGTGGAAGGCGGCATTCTGAAAGAATAAGTACCTTCTATGCCAAAATAGTGCGCTATGCACCTATCTGGTCTGAAAATCACAAAGGAATGAATCAAGGTGACAGAGAGGAAAAGGGGTAATTTCCAAATTAATCACCAATGAGAAGGACACTATTAGTTATAGCTGACACCTAGGAATCTAAGAGCAACTCTGAATTCACCAATACCCCCAAAGAAGATTTATATTACCAGGCTTAGATTATGAAATGAAATGTAATGTAATGAATAAAAAAATCCCAGTAAATTTAGGGCAGATCATTTACCTGCGAACAGAGCAACATTGGCATGCTTGGCATCGTAGGGGCACCTGGCCATTCCACTGAACTCATCACCAAGGGAGTCGAGGGTATCCATCTAGAAGAAACAGTCGCTTCTATTCAGTAACAAGAACTGGCTACTTTTGGGATGTTTTGGAACTCAGTAGGTCTCTATCAATAAGGATTATGGCAATCATCTACGGCAATTTAAGGACCAAATAAACCTTTTATTTTCTTAATTTTTTAATGACCCACAAATCTGGGTCATGCATTATACAAGAACTTGCCTAAATTTTTGGTTTTTCTTTTTCCTATTAAGACCTGACCCTTGTAGGTCAAATCCTAGAAGAATCAACTCTCAGCACTTTTCCTAAGCTTTAGTTTTCAGAGGAATATAGCATAAGGAAAGGATGCAAGCACAATACTGGAAGCCATTTTAACCCACTTTAAATTGATTAAAGAGGTGTAAGGGATCATATTATTTATCCAGACAAATATCCCTCCCCCCCCATAAGAGTGAAGCAATCTGTCCAAGGGCATATATGTAGTTGGCAGCAGAGGTGAGACTAAAACTCAAATCTCTGGATGCCCAATCCAATGCTTCACTGTTATCAAATACTCCTTCCTTGATCCATGGAACCTCTCTGAAATGCAGCATTTCAGCAACTTTAAGCACCACCCCCCAAACTTCTCTATTCCATGATTAAGCATTTCTATAATTCTCTCTATATGAACTTCAAGAGTCACTGATTATGTGCAAGGCAGTGTGTTAGGGTATGGGAGACATAAAGATGAAAACAATCTCTTTCTTAAGGTGTTCATATTCTGCTGAGAGTATACAACACATGAGCAGATAATTATGGAAAGGAGAGCACTAACTGCAATGGAAGAAGTGTATCCAGTATAACTTTGCAGCCATTGTTTATGGAAGGTGGGAGTTGGTCAGCAGGAGTCCCGTTCTTCAATCATGTGTCTTGTTCAACCTGTTTTGTACAATGGGGGGCTACGTAAGCCTGCTTCTAGGCAGGCCTGATGGCAAAGCCTTGATCCCCAACTTTGGGCTATAATCAGATATTCCATTTCTAGTCCATTAACCACATGGTGAAGAAATAGATTTGTGACTGACTGACAAGCTGGAATTGGCCCTAACTGGCCAGAGTGAAATTCTTTCTCCTTCCTGGATTCATTTGAGTGAGTAATCAATAACTGCTGTAAGCCTCCAGGTGGGAAGAGTTGTGCTAGTGGCCTAACTTTGGGGTCAACATGTGGCCCATGAATGTAAAGACTTGCTGCTTCTTCTATTTTTTCCTGACTTGGGTGAAGGAATATTAGAGATCGAATAGTCTAAACTGTGACGTTGTGAGTTTCTAAAGATTGAGAGACCCACCAGAGGTCTGGGAAATGGAGTTCCCACCAGCTTGTGGAGAGCTGAGCCCAGGCTATCAGAACAGTTAGTGGATTGGCCCAAAGCCAAAATACCAGGTCCTGCCAGAAGGAGTGATTAATCCATTGGCTGTGCTACATTTGGGAAGTGAACTTGGTGGGGCAAATGCTTTGAAGAAATGTCTTTAAGTTTGAGTTCACTCTTTCAGAGGCCAATGTGGTATAGGAGAGAGTATACTTCTGTTCTTGTCCTATCACCCTGGTAAACATACTCCTATACAATCTAATTTATGTTTATTGGTTAAAAGATTCCAGTTTGCTAGTCACTGACAACTGATACTGGGAAAACACACTAGAAAGGTCACTCAAGCCTCCTCAATATAGAAGAATCATCCCTACCCCTCTATAAACCTGAGGGAGAGATGGAACCTTGTCCTTTCAGGACTGACTCCTCAGTGTGAATTAGAGTTGGATAAAGGAAAGGAAGGATGCTAAGTGCTTTACAAATATTGGTATGTTCTATTATTATCTCCATTTTACAATTGAGGAAACCGAGGCAAACAGAGATTATGTGACTTGCTTAAGGTCACACAGCTAGGATTTGAATTCAGATCTTTCTGCTTCCAGACCCAATGCTCTTTCCACTGACCCACCTAACTACCTCTAAAGATTCTTGTCTATCAAGACTACATTTAGTTATATTTCATTATATGTTTGAGTCCTGTATGCTTCAGTACAGATAAGGAAACTGAGACATAATAAAGTTAAGGACAATATGCTACATGATCACTTGTATTAATTCAAGATGCCCAATGTTGTCATCCAGGAAAAGACAGTTATCTCAAGGAACATCAGAGAGGATAGTCCAATTGCTAATTTTGGCCCCATCTCTTATGAATAGTCTCTGTGATGTAATAGGTCTGCTCCACTCCTAAGAACTTTGAAATGGCCTTTAATATTAAAGATGTGGATTTTTAAAAATTGAAGTTGAGAATAGTATAAAGCTATAGCATTTTTATAAAGAATCTTTCTAAGAAAACATGACTGTTAGGCACTGTTTAAAACAAAATGATCTTGTTGTTCTGCTCCCACCACCCAATCCATTTTTACTAAAGCCCTTTGCTGATATTTTATCTGAGCATGGGCTTCCTGTTGAACTGTGACAGATTCTTTGGTCTGAGGCTCTGGAAAGGATTCAAGAGTGGGGTTGTACTCTTATCCAGAGCAGTATACACTCTGTAAACTCTGCAAGAAAGAAACAAAACACTTGGGGGTGGGGAGATTTTTTTCTTTGTGCAACTACTTCTAAAAATGTGGCAGGAGCTAAATCAGAGCTGGAGGATAATGTGAAATTGTCCTCTGCTGATTTGGATGTTTGGAAGGATGTGGAGATTAAACAGTATTAGCAGAGTAGTCTGTGCCATAGAGAAATCCTATTTCCATGAAATAAGAATTAATCCATGCACTAGTCATAAAATCTCAGACTTAACAGCAACCCCTGGGAAATTAATTCACCATAGGGTACTGATAATTATACAAATAACCAACTCAACCTCACATTGGGGTTCCAAAGGTTTTAGTGAACAATGGGGGAAGGTATGCAGAGGATCCCAGACCTAAAGCTGTAAAGGTCCTTGGAGGCCATTGAGTCCAAACCCTTTCACTTTACAAATGAGGAAACTGAGCACACAGAGCATAGCTTAGATTCCTCATTCTTAGCCTTCTTGGTTAGGCATCAGCAAATCTATTTCAGGTTGTAATCTTTCCCACACATTCACCTTCCTTGAGGGGTACACTGTGTATAAATCAAAGACAGAGTTCAGAGTCAGAGACGATTAAAAAATAATCCTTCTTTCCCCATCAAGTTATTCTAATAAACCTTAAGCTCTTAAACTATGGGACTTACACAGTGGATGATCTGTGTTTTTTTTCTATTTATGTTGCCATTGTGTTCAATTTTTTTTACAGATATTACTCATTTCTGAAAGAGACACTTTAGGATAAAAACACTATGCTGAGTTTTCCTTCCCTGAAATTCTACATTCTAGCCTCGTCTGCTCTTTCACCTTCTGCTTTTGAGAATAGATCTTCTCAGTGTTATGCCCAGGATGCCCCAGTGCCATCCATATTGTTAAGATTATGGGCAAGGAAAGTCAATAAATGTATCCTTGTGACTTCCTACAGGTCCCTAAGGTATTCTTCACCAGGGTACTTAGTTCAAGCAAAGATGAGTCAGAATCAACATGAGTTATGTATCATGAGGAATAAAATATCTGAAAAAAGAATAAGTAAGACCATTCACATTCGTTACATTACAATGCTAAGAAAACCAGCATTTATAATAAAGAAGAGCTTTCCAGCATGGGATTTATTAGGAGAATTAATCTTAATGAGCACTAAACAATGACAAACTGAAATTGAATACTAAACAGTGGATTTGATTTTGAAGACCCAGATGTTTGCTATGGGACAATCAATTGCAAGTTGAGGTGTGTTGGGGTAGGGAGAATGGGCTGCTACAGATTACAGCCTATATCTGGTATCAAAAATATGACCAGTGGGAGATGAACTTATAGCCAATGCAAAAATTTCCTTCAAGGAATTAGCTGAACAGAAACAAAAGGCAGGGCTGTAGCATTGGTCAGCATATGTATTGGTGCACTTTCCATACTAAGGTCTTTGCAGTTTCTGTACCAAAGAGGCAAAAGGGAGGAGACAGCAAAGTGAAACAGATGGAGATGGGTTCATATATCACTGCTGTTGTTTCTACTACCACTATCCAGGATGCTAAGAGCTCCCTACCTTCTTCAGGGACACTTTTTTTTAACAACAATTTAATCAGGACTAACTGGAAGTGTTGCCTCTCAGAGAAATGGTTGGAAATGTTCTTGGTATAATGAACAGTGTCAAATAAGACACTCTCCTTGTCATCCAATAAAAAGGTGAAATTAAGACCTCTAAATTCTTCAAAATTGCCTACGCAGAAGTAAACTTGCAGCTTCAGATGCATGTTTTTGAAATCAGGAAATGCTCATAAAACAAATGTGTGTAGTGTTCGTCTATGTGTATGAGGAGAGAGAAGGAGGAGGAGGGAAAGCAGAGAGAGAGGGAGGGAGATAGTGAGAGAAAGAGAGACAGAGAGAGACAAAGAGAAAGGAGATGAAGACAGAGAGGGAGAGGGAGATGGAGAGGGAGAAGGCGAAGGGGATAGGGGAAGAGGAAAAAGGAAAGGAGAAGAAAGAGGGGAGGTGAGGTGGGAAAGGAGTAAAGAGACAGGAGTGGAGAGAAGAGGTGAAGAGAGTTGAGGTCAGGAAAGGAGAGATGAAAAAAAGAAAGGAGGAAAGAAGAGACTAAGACAATATATTCACATTGTACTTATTGTAAACCATGTATTAGTCAACTAGGCAAAGAATAGGGTCTTACAGAAACTGACTTTGCTCTGTAGGATCCTTAAAGATGCGTCAATCAATCCTGATCACACAGGAAGCTGGAAAGCCTACTCTCAAGCTCACTCATGTGGAGCAATACATTAAGTTGAACAAGTGAAAAGAAACTGGGTCGTGTTAAATTACAGTTCTTAGCTTGTTCCAGGTACAGAGTAAATTACAAAGTGCCTCCTAACCATATGGTTCCAAACATATAAAAGTAACATTTACCTTATAGTTTCTGCAAGAAGGGTTGAAGGCATTGGTTCCGCAGACAAATAGTGTATCATCATTTTTCTTTAGAAGAACTTTAATAAAATTGTGACATTCATCCTGGGGGGAAAATAGTTCAAATGTATTTTTTTTCCAGGTCAATTTCTTTCAATAGAACCCATCATTCACTTTGTTTTCTGATCCATTGTCATCAAGGTTAAAATGAAGAAAGCCTAGCAGCTATTCTTCTATCCTGGTTGTTTTTCCCAGAAGATGATGGTGACAAAGAATTTCCATTTTATTAATCAATGAATTAATCATTTAATATGTTTTCATTAACGGCCTACTTAAAATGTATGACTTAGAGGGGCAAACTTGGAATGTACGTAAAACATTACACTTAGGCGTTAGGAAAGATACAAAATCAATTCATCGAAAAGCAGTTATTAAGTACCTCCAGGCACTGTGTTAGGTGTTGAGGCTACAAAACCAACCCCTTCTCATCCTTCATTCTTTCCTTCCTTCCGTCCTTTTTTGAAAGTAAATTTGGTGCAAGGTTGTGAACGACTTTAAATGTCAGACCTAGGAATATATCTATATCTATATCTATATGTATGTATGTATATATGTATTACAAATGTATATATGTATGTATTTTGGCTAGGCAATGGGGTTAAGTGACTTGCCCAGGGTCATACAGCTAGAAAGTGTCAAGTGTCTGAGGTCAGATTTAAACTCAGGTGCTCCTGATTCCAGGGCCAGTGCTCTATCCATTGTGCCACCTAGCTGCCCCCTAGGAATCTATATTTGACATCCAAAGCCAGGGATGTGCTGAAGTCAGCTTGAACCTGCTGAGAGGTGATTGTTAAATTTTCTGAAGTGTAAGCAAAAAAAACCAAACAAACTGGCAAATGCTACAAATTAGTGCTTGCTTTATTGTTTTGATTGTTTAAACTTAAGAGTGATGGAGAAAATGTTAATAATACAGATTAAAGTGCGTTATTTATACATTCCCCTCCCCCTCATGGAACTGGTTGTTAAATATTTACCAGCATGCCCCTGCCTAGTGGTAAAAGGAGCCATTGGAACAGTGGGATGACATGGTCAGAACTGTATTTTTGGAAAATCACTTTGCAAACCATGTGGAAGATAGACTGGAAAGGGAAGAGACAGGGAGGCCAATTGGGATGCTACTATAATAGTGTAGAAGAAAAATATGATTAGGGCCTGAACTAGGGTTCAAGGGTCTTTTTATGTTGCTACATTACTGAAGGCATAAAACCCTGTAATTCTGCTTGCAGCTTTTTATGAGTCCTTAAAGGAAACTCCCAGTAGGCAAAGGGCAGCAGTGTTTAGCTCTCGTAGAGAGTGCTAGGCAGTGTCTGTACAGTGAACATGGTGTCCACAATCCTTTGTGGAACGGGCGCATTTCACAATGCCACTCTGGCTGCTGCTGTCGTAATGTTTCATCACATTAAAAGCAAACTATTTTTGCAAATTAAAGCCTTCAATAAGTTGATGGAAAAAGCCATTACTAGAAAAGAAGTGAATGGCAGGATCTATTCCACATCACAGACAACGACTTGATTTAACAGTCAAAAAACCTAAACCAAAGTGGCAGCTTCAGGAGGAAAGAAAATTGCCTACCTTATGTTTTCCCTTCATTCTGCATGTGTCTACATCAGCCTGTCTAGATTTCCATGTCAGTTTCTGCAGGGATCAAGAAAGAAATCAATTAGAGCTCAGAGGTTGTTGCATTTGATTTCAGAAGTAAAAGTTCCCTTGGGGAAACTAGAAGCTGAACGTATATTTATTGAAAGCTTTCAGCACCCATTCCCCATGATTAATTCACCATAACAACAAAAGATCAGTGATGCAAAATGTTCATTTCATTTCGAGCTGCTTTCTATTCATTAAACTATAAAACAATCTTCTGTTATTTGATGCTCCTAAAAAAGATTAGTAAGTAGATTTAACCAAAAAGTAGCCAAACTAACTTTTAAACATGTACTTTTCTAAATGTCTGCTCTTTCCCTCTCCTTTCATTTGGCTTCCTTGTAACAAAGATGCCTTTTTTTTTTTTTAAAGTACGAAGATTTTTTTCTGTAACTACACACTTATGTTTAGGTTCACTTTAGGTAGGCAAAAAAAAATCCAATTTGTTAATAGGCTGAGGGGGATCTTCTGATTGTACTAAATTTAGAAGATTTTTATAAAACTAAATCATCACCTTGTGTTGTTTTAAGAATCTCAGGATAGACTGTTGTGCCTGTCTGAAATGACATTTTGGAAGGCCATCATTGATTTAGAGTAGGAAGGGACTTTAGAAATCACCTAGTCTGAACCTCTCACTTAACAAATGCAGAAAATGAGACCCAGGGTCATTAAGTGACTTGCTCAAGGTCACTCAGGTAGTAATTAGCAGAACAGGATTAAAGTCAAGTTCTTTCCCTTCAAATCCAGTGCTCTTTTCACTGTAATACAAATGTAAAAGGTCAGGGTGAACCTCAAATGCCAAGAAATGGGAGCATTGCACCTGGGTGATTAAATCTATGCTGTGGGATGTGCCCATGCACATGAAATGATTCAAAATGGGTTTTTCCAACACAAGTATCACAACTAAAACATTATGAGAGTATATAAATTGCATAGCTCTCCACATTGCAAACAGGCACGTGACGGATAGCTAATTCATCAAGTAGAATCATCAAAACTTTTAGCTGGAAGAACTTCGTATGTCAACTAGTCTAACCTCAAATTTAAAGAAGAGAAAACTGAAGATGAGAGGACAAGAGATGAAGTCACACATTCCAGGTCACAAAGCTAATAGAAAGGAATACTATTACCCAGTTCTCCCCACCCCCTCCACCTTCAGTCTAATGCTCTTTTTACCACACCAGACTCATTCAGTTTCAGAACACAAAACCTCACACACAGAGAAAATCCTTTCTTTAAAAATACACAAAATACTTGTGATCTTATCCTCTAAATGATGTTAGGTACATATCTTAATTTGCATATTTTCAAATATAAACACTGGTTGAAAATGAGATCATGCCTCCCTCCTAGATTCCTTGATTCCAGAACCCTGGTTTAGAAACTACTTACTTTACTACAATAAATTTCTTCTGTGTTTGATGTGTCTATGTCAACAGAATAAATATGGTCCCTGTAAACAAAGGAAAATTAATATAAAGTCATGCAGTAGTCAAGACAGTTCATTTTTTATTGAATCAGTCATTTGCAGGCTAAGTTTTGCTCAAGTGCATGTACAGTATCTACACACACACACACACACACACACACACACACAAACTATGAACACAAATACCAGAATAGAAAGGGCAGACACACAAGAGAATTCTGATAATAGTCTGCTTCTACTGATAAAGCACAACTGAATATAATCTTATACCTTACTCCAAATGAAGAAATAAAAATCCTTTCTGATAAAAATTACAAAATATGCATATAAGTGGTTCAGGAAAGAAAATCCTTTATGTTTGCTTGGTTTATAGATATGTTCACCTGTTCTAAAAATGGCTAAAATGCCATTTAAAAAAATCCTTGGTATTCAATATGCCACATTTATTCAACCAGAAAGATAACAAGAAGTTAATGCTCTTTCCACCTCTCTCTTTTAAACATCTCACTATAGCTTTCAACCTTGATGATTTGACAGACAAGTCAGAAAGGGAGATGTCAGTGACAAAAAATGTGTCTAGAAATCGCATTTTTTCTCTCTCCCACTATTATGGTCATTTTAGATTGTAAGGCATGTTCCTGCAAAAGTTTACATTTCTTTCTTCTGTTCACCTTCCTGTTTTACTGAGAATTTGCTTTTCTTTACAATGAACTGCCAATCGCCTCTTGGAAGAGAGAAACAATCAGCAGCTCAGGTGTGGGACTATATTTAAATATTCCCTTCTGTGGGAGCTGAGTACAAGGACATTTTTGTCTGGAAGTCAGAAGAAAAGAAAAGAACTACACCAAATTGGGGAAATGAGGAGGGGGTTAGCGAATGAAAGCAAAACATCTCATTTTCCCTTGAAATAACATTGAATTTTTCTAAAATGCAGGAAGTCCCGGGGCTGGAAAATTACCCAAGCTTTAAACTAGGTCCATCAGGCTGAGAGATTTTCTGCCTCCCAACAGGCGCCCCTTTCTTACCTCCCCCACCTCTTTTTAAAGTCTCTACAGCCAGGATTCTCTTTATTTTTATCAGTTCTGGCAAAAAACAGGCTATGCTGCTTCTACTAGGCAGGGAGCACAATGATCTTTACAGCCACACAGAAGAGTAACAAGTAGATCTCCTCTCACGTGAAGGGGGGGCGGGTGGGAGGGAGGCAGGGTTGTTAATGGGAACCGGCTTAAAAGAAAAAAAATCCCCTGCCCTCCACTGAACACTGAATACTTGGGGGTGGAAGACTGGCTAGTCTGCTTAGAAAATTGCTGAATTGGGAAGTTTCTTCAGGCGTCAGTAGGAAACCACAACTGTCGTTTACTTTCAAACCTTCGTTTATTATTTGCTTGACTTTACTGGTGGCGCCTTGGTCCGGGTCATTACTGGCATAAAATTACCTATTACTTTGTTATCAGCTTTACGGATGACTTCAGTTCTTTATTTTTCTCCTACACTCCCCTTTCTCCGTCCCCCCTCAAAAAAGTGAGAGTCAGGCATCTGAATTGTAAATTAAGAGCTAATTATTATGCATTGGCAACACCTCAGAAAGTTCTCAGATTGTCCCCTTCTTGCTTGGCCTGTTTATGTTAATTAGTAGTTGAGATTTTTAAAAAGACAACAACAACAACAACAACAAACCCTAACGGGAGATAAAAATAGTGATTCAAAAGAGGCCCCAGTCTCCCAATCCCTAAATGTTGAAATAGCTTTCTCAAGCAAAGTAATCCTGGGAACTGAGGAGCTTTTTCCAAAGAAAGGTGAGTGGGAGGGGGAAGCAGGGAAAAGCATGAATGAAAGGATCTGCTTTCTTGGATAAAGACAGGTACTTTCCATGCGCAAAATCTTAAAATGGACCAGTCCTTAAAAGGGCTCTCAGTTGTGAAAACTTCAGGTCGGTAGCTACAGGCAATAAAGGTAAAGAGGTGTTTTTGTTCTCCCTTCCCTACCACCACCTATAGCATTCCAGAGCATACAGCTGTTTGTTAATTAAGCTATTCTAACACAAACTGGCTTAATCCTAGTATTTCCGCTTTCCCACTTCTAGTCAGCAAAATTGAATTTTGTGGCAAAATCGAGGAAGGAAATTTAAACAATGTAATTGGCAGGTTTTCGGGCCACCCAGGGGGAGGTACTCTCAAAGTGGCAGCTTCAAATACTTTCTCTCCTAGTTCTCTGGGTCTTTACATTGGAGAAGTGACTGCAGGAAGGGCCAGAAACATGAAAAACTGGGATCCCAGGCAGATTGCACACTTTGAACAAGGTGGCACGTCACCTTTGGGAGAATGAGGCTGTTTGTTAGATTTAAAATAGACATATCAAGTATTTTCAGAGCATATTAATTTGGATGGCTCACCTTAATTTATAAAACCTGTAACTGGTCTGGGTAATTATAGCAAAGTTTTTCTACCTCATGAAATATAAGCATCTTACTCCTACCTAAAGAGGTAGTCAAGTTTAGCTTGATAAAAACCACACTGTCCTATCTCTAAGGTCACAGGCTTTTAGAACTAGGAGGCACTTTAGGGATCCCTGAATACCAATCCTTTAAAAGGGGGGGTGGGGTTGAGAGCATGAACTTCTTCAATCTTTCAAAGTTGTTTTAAATTCAGTTCCTGTTCTCTAGCTCTCTTGAGTTACAAACGAAGAACTGAGGCTCAGACAGCCTCAGTGACCTGCCCCTAGCCCCGTGGGTAGAGGCAGAGAACCCAGTTCTCCTGAGGCACATCTAGTGAGAGCTCTTGTGATTACACATTACTCGATCTATCTCATCTATCTGTGTTTACTCTTCTTTTTTCCCTTCCAGAGAAGCAACAGCAAAGTGAACAATTCACAGAGGATTTTGAAGTCAGCCTACATTCTCACAGATAGGCTGTTTAATCATTTGTTTTGACCAGGTTTCAGATAATTGAGTATAAATGTAACCTTTAGCACGGCAACATTTAGAAAAAAAAAATTTTTTTTAAATGACATTCAAGAAAAGCTGATATTATGCCTAAGGGATGGTTGCTAGAGACATTTTTCAATTAATTCTGCTGAGATGCTCTTTGATAACTGTCTATGGTAGCTGTGTTCCTAAAAGTGAACATATTTAGATTTGCTCCTTAGAGGTTCATGTAGTAACCGAGAAAGAGTAAAAAGCTAGGTGTTTCTCATTTTAGCAACAATTATATCTGGGTGAAAATAGGGGGGCATTTTTGCATTTTTATCCCACCTCATAAGTTTTCATCCATGCAGTAAAGTGTGTCTGCTTTTTTAATTAAAATGAATCCCATACTCTGACACTGAGAACTGACTCTCTCTTGGCCATAAAATGACAGGTTCTATCTAGCAGGAGCTAAATCAGTATCATATTGATAATCTTGTCTACCTTTTTCTTTGAAAATTTCAGAACTGATTTTCCCAAATCCCATACCATGATGTTTCACAACTCTCCAAGAAAGGAATTTCATACTTCAATCATTTCTTCTCAAAGTTTAGGCCTACTCTTTTATCTGGTCAGTCTCATAAATAAAGAATATCTATTGTTACCCATACAATACCCTTTTATATACTAGAAAAAGTGGTAAAGGGAACCCATGCCCATCTGATCTCATTTCCTCCTCTCCTTCCAGGCACTTCTGGGTAAATACATCCTGTTCCATACCCTTTCCTTCCCATTTCTCTCCACCTTTTCTTTAGGCTTCTTCCCCCTGTCCACGTTTGTCTTTCTACTCTTGCTTCCTTGTCTATTTTTTCTCCCCCTTCTGCTCAGTTCTGGTGTCGGAGGGAGCCACAGTGAGGCTGAAGGTGAACCTTTCCTCTTCTTCACCTTAAGTCCTTCCTGAAGCTTTAGGATTCCCTAAATCTCCTCTTACAACTCTTGTCTCCCATATCTAACTGGCCTTAGCCATAGTTCACTATGATTTTCCTGCCATGCCACTGTAGTAACTCCCTACTTCCCTTCACTTTTCAGGTTTTGCTTTGGGTACACTAGGCAAATCAATGCCACCACTACTTCTGGATAGCGTATCCAATTGCCATTCTCCTGACTTCCTCATGACTCCCTAACCCAAACACCCTTCCCAGGCCACTATATATGTCATCTTCTTCTAGTAGAACGTATTCACGGAAGGCAGGAGCCATCTTTCCTTTATATTTGTAGCCCCATAGGGCCTGGCACATAGAAAGAACTTAAGAAAGTATTTTTCTTTCATAAATGCATTCATTTGTTCCCCTAAGTCTTCATCTTGAATTCTGTATATTTTTCTTCAGAGGCTCATTTTCCAAAGTCTTTTTTCATTATTATTCCTCTCCTCTGTCTCCCCTGCAAATTTTTTTGGGGGGTGAGGCAGTTGGGGTTAAGTGACTCGACCGGGGTCACCCTGCTAGTAAGTGTTCAGTGTGTGGTCTGAGACCAGATTTGACTTTAGGGCTGGTGCTCTATCCATTGCGCACCTAGCTGCCCTTCCTCTGCAAGTTCTACACAGATTACTCAGGTTGTATTGCACAAACTTCACACAGTATTGCTTGACAAGATGATAAATTTAGAGCTGGAAAGGATGTTAGAGGTCATCTCAGCTAACCCCATCATTTTAAAAATGAGGAAATTAGAGACCAGAGAGGTGAACCAACTTGCTTAATGTCCCCTAGGCGGTAAGAGAGACTAGAATTCAAACTCAGATCCTCTGACTTTAAAATCAGCCCCCTTTCCTACCATATCTCTTTCCCTCTCCCTAGCTGATACTGATTTCTTCCTCAGCTCTATTTCTTTTACACACTTACCACATTCTAATTTGTGTATATCCATGTTTTATCTCTGCCCCATCCTCCAATGAGATTGTAAGCTCCCTGAGACCAAGTCCCAAGTCTAGCACCTACTAACAGTGGGTTGCAGATAGTAAGTATTTAATAAGTGATTGCTGAATGACTGTTGTGATTAAGTTTGACTTCTGCCAGGTCTCTAGTACCTGGGGAGATTCTCTCACAAGTTTATGTCCCAGCATCACATTCTCCTTTTCAAAACAGCTACATTCAGCACCACATTGTTGAATCATATTTACCTTGAGGGTCTCAGAAATCCTCAAGGATTTCATGTGCTTTTCATTTGTCATACTTGCACCCAGCCAGTCCTTCCCAATGTCCTGTTTATGAAGCTTGTATTTCCTCTTTACATTAATAGCCCCAGGAATTGTTGTTCTCGAATGACCTATTTAAACAATTTTAAAAATAGGACCAAGTATTTCTACAACTTGTCAAGATTAGCTGGAATTCAATTTCTGTTTTCTAAGGTGATAGCCATGGTAGATAAGTGTAGTAAATAACACACTCTCATGAAAATCAATGATGGAAACCTTTTTATCTGGGCTAAGGACGAACTAGGTGTTTACCTCCTCCTCAACACCTCTTCCCCTTCAACACCAATTTGTGTCTCTTATTTAATTGACTCATTTCTAATCATATAATCTAATGTCTGATTTTCCTCATTTTCTGGGAATTATGTTTCTGGAATACGATTTTAAATTTCCCTTCAAAATAAAACCAGACATCTAGTTTGGTTCCCAGACTCACTGAGGAATTCCTTCCATAACATTCCCAACAAGTGTTTTTTTGGCCCTTGTGAGAACAAATTCAATAATTCAGTACCCCATGAGGCAGTTCATTTAATTTTGGAAAGGCTCTGATTATTAGAAAGTTCATTCTTATGTTGAGCTTAAATCTGTGCCCATGTAATTTTCACTTATTAGTCCTAAATCTGCCCTCCAGAGCTGCATAGAATCAGTTTAATCCTTCTTCCACATGACAACCCCAGAGATTCTTAAAAACAGTGATTATAATACACTTAGTTTTCTCTTCTTTGGGCTAAACTTTCTCAGTTCCTTCAATTAAATTTTCTATGAACAAAATTTGGTGTGTCCTCACCAATGTAGTCACTCTTCTCTAATTTGTGCTCCAGTTTGCAAATGTCTTTCATAAAATGTTGTGCCCTAAAATGCATATCCTAATCTAGATATGGTTTGACCAATATAAAAAACTACCAGGACTATTTTAAACACTCTATTTCTATTAATGCAGCTCAAAATTTCATTAGTTTTTATTCCTCTCTTGTGGATGCATATTGCACTTACAGTCAACTAAAAACTTTAGTTCTTTTTCAAACAAACTTCTACCTAGTCACATCTTCTCTATTCTATACTTGTACTGCGTTAATTTTTCAAATATTAGTGCTGAGTTTACATTTACCCTTTGAAATTTAATCTTGTTATAATTGAGCCCATTCTTCCACTCTGTCGAGATTTTTTTGCACCCTGATTTCGTCAGCTGATATGTTAGCTAACCTTTCAAGCTTCTTGACATCAATGGATTTGCCATCTTTATCTTCATTCATTGATAACAATGATGAACAGGAGACAGATGAGAACTGAGCTTCTCTCTAGGCTGACACTGATCCATTATCCATAAGATCATAAATGTAAAGCTTGAGGGGGCCCTTTGAATCACATGATTCAAACCCTTCATTTTACAAATAAGGAAACAAAATTAGAAAGAGACTTGTTGAAGATCACACAAGGAGTAAGCAGCAGAGCTATGTTTGGAACTGAGGTCCTCTGACTTTTAAATCCAGTGCTCTTTCTACTATCTCACACTAACCCAACTCTTTATAGGTCCTGTCATGTAACTGGTCATTAATGCTTCTTTGTCTTGTCCACAAGGATGTCATGAGAAAGCTTATCAGACTTGTTGAAATCTAGGTGCTCTTTGCCTACACAGGGACTCCATCTTCCCAATTTGTCAGTTGAGCAATTCTGTCCAAAAATGAACTTATCAATAAACATAATTATTTTGCTTATCAATAAATGATTATTTCCTGAAAATAGCTTCCATGTCTGTTTTGCCTGAAGGCTATGCCTCTCTTAATGCAGCCCAAGACTGCATGAACTCTTGGCTGCTGCATCACACTGCTGACTCACATTGAGCTTAGAAGTTGGCTAAAATCAACAGATTGTTTTCAGAACAGCTCCTGACCAGCCATTCCCCACTGAGATCTTGTACTTGTGAAGTTGATTTTTTTTTTTTAATACTACAGTGTAAGCCTTTAAAATTTATCTTATGAGGCCTGCCGCGGTCAGGTCTGCGGCCTTCCCTGTGCGGCTTTGCTGCTGCCGCCGCCGCCGCAGCCCCTGGGAGCAAGTTCTCCCTCTCCCTCCCCAGCCCCGGCCCGGCCCGGTAGCTGATGTAAAGAGGAGTAGCTCAAAGGAAGTATCATGGATCTCATGGTTCTGTGGGCTTCGTGGCAATGAATTCCTCTGTGAGGTGGATGAAGACTATATCCAAGACAAATTCAACCTCACAGGGCTTAATGAACAGGTGCCCCACTATAGGCAGGCATTAGACATGATCCTGGACTTGGAACCTCATGAAGAGTTGGAGGACAACCCCAACCAGAGTGACCTGATTGAGCAGGCAGCCGAGATGCTGTATGGACTGAGTCATGCCCGCTACATCCTCACAAACCGTGGCATCGCCCAGATGTTGGAAAAATACCAGCAGGGAGACTTTGGCTATCGTCCCCTTGTATATTGTGAAAACCAGCCCATGTTGCCCATTGGACTATCAGACATACCAGATGAGGCCATGGTGAAGCTGTACTGCCCCAAGTGCATGGATGTTTACACCCCCACGTCGTCCAGGCACCACCACACAGATGGTGCTTACTTTGGCACTGGCTTTCCCCACATGCTCTTCATGGTGCATCCTGAGTACAGGCCCAAAAGGCCTGCCAACCAATTTGTGCCCAGGCTGTACGGCTTCAAGATCTACCCTATGGACTATCAACTGCAGCTTCAGGCAGCCAGCAACTTCAAGAGCCCTGTCAAGACTATTCGCTGACTTGTCTCCTCCCCTCCCCCCACAACACCTCAGGCTGTGACACCATTCCCTCTCCCCCCAGTACACACACACCTTTCCAGAATCCCTAATGGTTTTTAGTTTAAATTAAGAAGAAGTCATTATTGTGGTGGTGTGGTGGGAGTATGAAATAAAGTGGAGGAAAAGGCAAAAAAAAAATTTTATCTTATGAGATTCAGCCCAATGCTCTAGTTTGTCAAGATCCTTTTGGAGCATGACTCCATCATGATGTATAATTTATACTCCCCAGCTTTGTGTCATCTGCAAATTTTATGAGTGTACCATCTATGCCTTGATCCAATAATTGATAAAAATGTTAATAGTACAGCACAGGGTCAAGCAGAGTTCTACTTGGCATTGGGGCACTATTTCTACTTTGGCACTGGGGTTTTTTAATGTTATGGCAATGGAGCAGAAGGTCTGGCAAATCCTAACCAGGTGCAAAGGCTCTGAGTAGATGACCTATCATTTGAGGACCAGTTGGGAGAGGTTAATCATCTGAAGAGCAACCATTAGGTAATTGTTTTTAGCCATACCAACACATGAAGACTGGCTACTGATGGACAGTTAATCAAATCAGTTCAATACTTGGGCTATTCCTAAGAATTAATTTACTGTGAATTTTGGACCAGTTTTTGGAACACAGTCATATTTATCATAGTGGGGCAGGGGCAGTTATAATCTAGGTGGGTAGAAGAAACACCACACCAATGAAATCACCTATTTATGAGGGGGTATGTGTATGTGTGTGTGTGTGCGTGCGCGCGCGCGTGTTTGTGTATACACAAACAACACATATATAAAGAGAAGAGAGGAAGGGAGAAAGAGACAGACAGAGCTGGGTGGCCTCAGTGTCGTAAAGACATGGATTCAAGTCCCATCTCTGACACATATTGGCTATTTGACCTGGGGCAAGTCACTTAATCTCAGTGCCCAGGCAACACTCTTAAGACTATAAATTGCTGAGGAAGTGATGATTTATATTGAGAGAAGAAGTTCCTTACCAGCAATTCCCGATGAAACTAATGAAAACACAGGTCTATTAAAAATATCAAACACACACACACACACACACACACACACACACACACACACACACACACACACACGTCTGCATGTGTTCAATTTCATTGTAGATCATTTGGGTTTACATTCCTGAAATATATAATCTCCTCACAGAAACATGAATTAAAGTACTAGAATGAAGAGCCTTTAAATAAGTAATAATAACTTAACAATTACATGAAGACTTAATGACTATGTATTTTACAATTTTAAAAATAACTGGTATGGGGCTATCATGAAATGATAAAGAAATTCATGACTGAATAATATAAGGCATTTCTGGATCCATAAAGCTTTCCAAGGAAGGAATGAGGAAAAGTGTCACTGACCTGGCAGCAATGTAGAGGGTTCTATTCATTATCACAATCATCTGGATGTCCAGTCTGTGCCTTTGTGTGGCGTTCCGTCCTGGCTTGTGGCCCACAAACACCGGATACTGTTTTGTATCTGTGAAAAGCAGAGTGGGTGGGGAGGTGGAACATAAAAGAAAACCAAGGGAAGCAGGAGAAGAAGATTTTTAAAGGGAAAAAAGAGAGGACAAGATCATAGAAATAAGCATGCATGTCATCCCCAGTATTGCTAGCATTCCCCAAACCCTCTAGTTTTCATTTTCCTTTTTTCCCAGTGTACTCTGTAACTTCAAGTAAAAATGTGAAAGGGTAAGGATTTACAAACTGATCAACGTTTATTTATAGATTTTAAAAGAAACACACTTATGTTTTTGTCAGCTTAAAATTATGATGCTCTTCCCCACCCCTGCCCCCATCTTCATTGAAGCAAAAATTGTCTAGAAAGCCCACTGCACACAGGGCTTCTAGTCTTTCATACAGTTTTCTTTTCATCCTTTTCAGAGTGCTAAGCCTTAGGGGCTATCTGCCAAAGATCCTCTCCTCAGGTTCAAGACTCAGAGGGAAAATATATATACATATATATATATATATATATATGTATAATCTCCACTGCCTTCCGGTTAGATTGGTCTAATACCGCTGGCTGGCTGTTTTGTTTTCTAGGAATTGTGGGCAGTTTATTGTTGTGAATATTTAATTGATCAGCAATCTCTTCAGGGATGGGGGTGGGGAAGAGATAATCATATCAAAATTGGTATTGAAGGCACATAGAAAGATACGGACTTTTTAGTAAGGATCATGGGGCATGCTGGAAAAAAACTGGATGTACAATATACTTTTAAGTTTAATCTGCATTAACATTTTCTCCATCACTTAAATCTTTTTAAAATAAACATAATTTCTTAAGTTTATTTCAGTAGAAATAAACATTTTATTGAAGCAAATATTTTGGCTTGAAATATCCAGATGGGTAGATACAATGATCAAAATCTCCAAATAATTGCTCAGATACGTGTTATAATTGGCTTGCATAAGCACAAAGACCAGGAAATTAAGAGGACGTCTATACATCTAATAAATGTGCCTTGTGCTAACAGCAATTTTAGAGGAATCAACAAAACAATATTTATAGAGTTTGCCAATTTCCAAGGTGTAAATGCTTGCACTGAAAATTTAACCATCGACTCTGGAGGGTCTGCATACCTCTGGAGGTAACTAATTCTCTGACATTATAACACTGACAAGCATCTGGTAAGAATGTTTTTCTCTTGAGCTCTCATTGGCTTTTATTAACACCTCAACACCCAGGGGTAGAACACATCTAAAATTCAAGAACTAGCAACTTAGACCTCTTTGATTTGAACCCCTTGTTAATTTATAAGGAAACGGAAGGCCAGGGAGATTGTAGCTTGCCCAAGGTCACACATGTAACACATAATAGAGATAGGATTCTGAGTCTTATTCCAATAAACTTTCTAATATACCCTGCTGCCTAAATCTCAACATGTTTCTACTATAGAACATACAGCCAGCTCCAGAAAGCACTCTCAACCAGAAATACCTTCTTAAGAAACTTAGAAGGGAAGGCTCTCAGAGTCCATATTTACAAGGAGGAGGCATGCCAACAGCCAGTGAATGCTAGCTAGTTTTCCTAAAAGCTAATACAAATCCTCATCTCTCATTCAACTTAGACTACTAGTTTTTAGAAGCATGTGTGACTTTGGAGAATTCTTTTTTAATCTATTGAGCTGTTTCATTTTATTTAACAAGTCCTATGCTGTTATCATGACTCAGTTACTGGCCAAGTGTAGATCTATGAGAAAGTCAATAGATACTCTGACACTTTGGTCTGTGCCAAAAGCAGGTGTTTGTTGCTTCTTTAAACTGAAACTAAGCATTTTTGGGGTGGTGGTGGTGATGGTGATGGAATAATAAGCAGAAAATCACTTAGGATTCAGGATATTTATTCAAAAATCAAACTGTATAACCCTGATTTATGTTTATAGTACATTTTTTTTTAATCTTAGGCTTTCCTAATATCCACAGTGGGAAATTTTACTAGTAGGCTTCTCACCTATTTCATTTATCACCTGAGTTAAAGCCACCCTTGTGATGAGCTGCTGAACAGCATAGGGTTTTGAGTGACAATAAAGTCATATATTTAGGTAATGAATGACCCTGAATATCCCAGACGTGGGTTTCTTCTGAGTGGTGGTACCAAGGATTGCAAAGACAAGACTAACTTATTTTTTTATACTGAATCCTATACTGACACCTAATTGTATATTATCTGGTATTCTTTAATTGTTTTTTTGTGCATTAATTAGTCTTTTCTGCCTAATTGGATCACAAGTTCCTAGAGGGAAGGGACCATGTTTGATATCTTTTACATATTCAACCACTAAATGCTGGCTGACTCATTCATATTGTTAGTACTACTAACTTGTTTTGCTGTTTTATAAAATCAGTAATTAGGAGATCCTCAGAATGGAATTCTGCCTTTGCAGGAACCTCGAGAGAAACCAAGCACATCCTTGAGTTGCATCTGATGCTACATCTCTCTTCTCTCACATTCCAAATAAGACAGAGCAAATAAAAGTATTTCCAAACTAACTGAGCCTGGCAGGTGCATGTGAATGTAAATGCAGTTTATATTATTTCAATGCAGACAACCTGCTAACCTGAGGTGATCTGTGAGATTGTTAATACTTACAGTTGCCATGTGAAATACTGATTGGCTCAGAATCTTCTGGGAAACCAGCCCCAGCAAAGTGTAGCAGTGTGAAATATAGCAGCAAGGCTTCTGACCTCATAGTAGTTCAGTGGGGAGACTTTATTTCTTTACTTCACCCTGCCAAAGACCAGAAAAAATTTTTTTCTTTCTTTTTTTCCCCTCCAATTCAGTGTTACTCAATTCTGTCCAGCAAGACGTTACTGTATAGTGCTAAATTTAAGAGAAAAGAAAATTCTGCTTTCTATCCTTTCTATTATAAATTGGGCAATGAGTGTAGTTTAACAAAGGCAAATGCTTGCATTCCTACTATCTGCTGTGATTCCTCACTGATGTGAGCCCCTTCAAAAACTTCTCCAAGCTGATGATTGGTACAATGTAAGATCCTTCCTAGTGAACAGCTTTTAATACATTATGGGCTGCTAGGTAGAAAGCCTTCTGGTTTTAAAGAAAATTGGCAATTAGAATTCTTAGGGAAATACTTTTTTTCTTTTTCTTGACTGGTTTACATAACTAGATGATGGTAGTGAGCACAAATAAAACCATACCACAGTATCTAAAGAAAAACAACAGTAATGATGAAAATGACTGATTCACATACCATGGAGAATAGGCAGGGAAGCTGATAAAACCTACTAAGCTTCCCCACCCCCATTCCATTACTCATTTATCAGTTAGGTATTACATGACACCTTGCAATAAAACAATGGTGAATGGGATTACCTAAAAATAACTTTATTCCCATTACCTGCTATATTCACTGAAAATCACATTATACATATGAAAATTCCCTTAAACCATACAGATAAAAAGATCCACATCGGGATCACTGGATACAATGAAAGAAAATATCATGTAATAAAGTACATAGCTCATAATTCCCAGGAAGATTTCTGTTAGATGTTGATCTACAGGGGAAAATTAATGTAAAAATGAAGCTATCCTTTCATCCTTCCTGTGTTCTAATCCTTTGATGTTGTCGGCCAAAACTTATCTTTCTGAACACAGCTATTTTACAGTACCCCATCAATCATTGAAGATTTGTGTGTAGAAAAGTCAGACTTCATAACCTAGATTGTCTTTGAAGGTTGATTTGGTAAACAAAGTACTATCATGTACTTTCACAACACCATTTAATATTAGACACCTATGGCTCTTTTCTTCAATCCTCTCCCTATTTCCCTTCCCCCAAGCATTAACAAGTCCTTTGTTGCATTTCAGCATATAATTTCACAGCCACAGCTGGGTCTTAATCATTACTCCAATTGGAAAGTGCACATTAATTAATTTACTTTATCTTGAAAATAAAAGGGTGGTGGGGGGAACAGTTCCCTATCTATATCCCTGAAGTGTGGGTTGAAATTCAATTATAAAGCATGACTTGCCTATAAGAGCACTCCATTACAAAGGGGGCATAAATACCCTTTCTATTTATGTCTAGAAGCAGGTAATAAGTAGTGACAAGATAAGCTTGGTTGGTTTGGTATGTTATAAAGGGTTTGAGCTCAAAGAACAGCAACTCCAGGGTCAGCTGGGGGGCTGCTACGATCTTCCACGTCTGTTGTCAGTATTACAATGAGGAGGAGGATTCAATAGCAAGAGTAAGTAAAACATGAAATAGAAACTAGCTAGTTATTATGTCTGAGATAGAAAAGCATATAGGGAGGAGGAGGGAGAGATAGTAATACATTTAAGGCTCAAGGGAGACATTACAATATTAGGCAGAAGCATAAGTTACCTCAGAGGGTTTGTAGCATGAAAGGAAGAATAAAAGAGAAACAAGGGCTGATTTTTTTTCCACTTGCAAGTCTTCAGAAATACAATATCTACTTTTAAACACTTTTTTAAATGCTTTATATGAATGAGGGGGTTTCGTGCTTTATGTAAGAAATTAATTCTTATCTCTCTACAAATATATTATTCTTTCTATGAATGCACTGTAAGAGAAAAAACAAAGTACCACAGCATTACTACATCAACAAATTTCAATTATTGCAATCTTATAATTGCTCTGGTCAAATACAAAGCTCTTCCCGAAAGTGGAGAAGATCAGTGTTCCCAGAAGAAATCTACCCAACTGCTTCCTTTAATCTTGATACATAGATAATATAATTGCTCAGAGCCTGGTAAATCAAATATGTGCTCACAGTGGGGCCACGCCATCATCATTATCATCATAGCTAACATTTATAAAATGCTTTAAAGTTTACAAAGCACTTTACAAATATTATCTTATTTTATCTTCACAACAGCCCTGGGAGGTGGGTGCTATTATACCCATTTTGCTGTTGAGGAAACTGAGGCAGAGGGATGATAAGTGACTTGCCCAGCTTCTAAGTGTTTGAGGCTGTATTTGAACTCAGCTCTTTCTGACTCCTGGTTCAACAGTCTATTGTGCCAGCTAGATGTCTCCAGGAAAAAAAAAAAAGATGCTATGTGCTTTTCCATTTACCACTTATGTCATCAGGTAGTTAACATTTGTGTTATGACTAAAGGTGTCATAGCAGCACTGATTAATGTACATGGACATTTAAAGCTTTATCCTTCTGAGGTTTTGATCTATTATTCTTTTCCTATTCTACCTACCCATATAAATGAGAAAACAGTATAATTTTTTTTGTTGACATTCCGTGGACAGATATCATTTGTTTTTTCATTTTCCAGACTGTAGATGAAGATCTGGGTCTTCTCTCTGAGATCAAGTCTATACTGACCTTGAAAGAGCTAAAGTAATATCAATATACAATAGCCGCATGTTTATATTAGTACCTGAAATTCATGTTAGTTAGGGCTGTTACCATAAAAATGTACTTTCAGATTCATCTGAAAGTGCTGTTAACATTAAGCACATTTATTAGGTATAGAGACATTCTCTTAATTATCTGGTCTTTCTTTGTATTTACGCAAGCCAAATATATTATGAATTCAGGCAATTAAGTAGAGATTTGATCATTGTATCTATCCATGAGGACAAATCAAGCTAAAATATTTTACTTCCATAGAAAGTTTATCTTGCTGCAATCACCTGCATAATTAATTGTCTTATCTTCCCACCTCCTTGGCCCTGAATCTGGTACACATAAAAATATACCATTTTGTCAGTGTTTCTGTAAAACTTTTGATGTTACTTTTCTGTCTAGAATTCGCTATCATTCTTAAGAACGTTTTAATTTGCTCTTCATGGATTTCTGTATGGTGAATCCATTAAATACTTTCAGATTCATCTAGAAATAATTATATTAATTTGGTCTGAGTTAGATGAAAAGGTGTGTTGACTTTTTATTTTTGCTTATTTAAAGCTGATAAATTATTTTTATTGCTTTTTTTTTTGGTCTACTAAGTCAATTTGGATATTGAAACTGTGATGAACAAACAAACATAAGGTCATTATTATCGGCTTCTTTTAGACAAACTAAACAGTGCTGAATATAAATTGGCCACCGTCTGCATTCAGGTTTTCAGGATACTGAAAGCCAAACAAAATAGGGTTAAAAAGATGTCTAAGTTCTCTAAGAATATTCTTGCCAAAAGCTGTAAATCAGGCATATCCAAGTAAATTTAAATATGTAAAGTAGTGGGGTACCTGGCAAGAATATCCAGTGTATAGTCAAAGGACCTGATTTTGAAATGATTCTGCCATTTATTATGTGTGAACTTTGACAAATCACTAAACTTCTTTAGATCTCAGTTTCCTTATCTGTAAAATGAAAGGATTGGACTAGATGACCTCTAAGGTCCCTTCTAATTATACATTTATAATCCTATTAGAGTCAGAAGTTGTGTGTGTGTGTGTGTGTGTGTGTGTGTATAAAACGCCATTTCCTTTTCCCCAAATATCTTCATTCTATACATTAAATTCAATTCAACAAACATTTAATAGACTCACTGAAGGCACCTTAGTGATCACATAGCCTAGTCCCTTATTTTAGATGGTTTGTCTAAGGTCATAAAGGTAGTAAGAAACAGAACCAGGATTTGGACCAAATCCTCTAATTATAAATCCAATGTCCTTTCTATATTACCATGTAGTTAGCACTTACTGTATGCAGGGCACTGTGCTAGATACTGAAGGTAATACAAAGCTTAGGTAAGACCCAATTCCCTGCCTTCATGGAACTCTACAGTCTAGGATGATGCAAAGTCATGACACCAACTTTGAAGAACTACACTAAAATCTGACTGTGAAGTCAGAAATCTCTACCTCTCATACACCCAGTTTATTACTTTAAAAGAGTCTATAACCATCAATCAACCAACAAGTTATTTGTTGTGTGAGCACCTGTTCTTAAGGGTCAGGGTTAAAGCCTTCTTTTTCTGTGAAGTTTTCTCTGACAAGCTCAGATAGAAGTGATTTCTCTTTTTAACCTCCAATAAATGCGAGGATAGTGAGTCCTATCAATAGGATACATTAGCCATTATTGGTTTACATATATTGTTATGTGTGTGTGTGTGTGTGTGTGTGTGCATACTTAGACAATGTCTCCCTCAACCAAATTGCTATTTCCACAAGGGCAGAGAGTCCTTATTTTATATGCTTACAACAATAAAATAATCAACAAGCCTTATTAAGAGTCTACTCTGTGCCAGGCACTGTGCTACACGCTGGAGATTTAAGGTGAAAAGTAAAATGGTTTCCATCCTTGAAGAGCTTACTATCTAGCTGGGGGAGACCACATGAAAATGTATAGGTATATACGAAATAGATTCAAAAACAGATGCAAGATATTTGGGCAGGGGGAGGGAGGGAAAGAGGAGGACTCAAGAAAGGCTTCATGGAGAAGTTAGAACTTGAACAGATTCTTAGAGAAAAATAGAGATTCTAAGAGGCCAAATTAAGGTGGGGAGAGCATTCTCGGGAATGGGAGGGAGGACAACCAGGATAAAGGTGTGGAGAGAGGAGATGAAGTTGGGTATATGAGAAACAACAAGAAGACCAGTTTCCTTTGACTGGTCTTGACAGTTTGTTCAAAAACAAGAGTATTATTTTTATTTTATTTTTTGGCTAGGCAAGGGGGTTAAGTGACTTGCCTGGGATCACGCAGCTAGTAAGTGTTATGTGTCTGAGGCTGGATTTGAACTCAGGTCTTCCTGAATCCAGGGCTGGTACCCTATCCACTGTG